TATTGATTTTTTCCATAAAAATTATAATAAATCAAATAGAATTTTATGAATATAGAATCTTTTCAATTTTAATTTCAGATTATTAATTCTGGATCTCGCGGCGGTGCAAGCGGCATCTGCGCCCAAAATACCAATTAAAAGAATAATAGATGACGTTCGCGCGTCAAGAAATATTTATTCAATATAGAGAGGCATTACTCCCAATCCATACCCATCCTACCATTTCTGCCCACATAAATATCCTCGAATTGGACGAAAAATCATAAGAATGGTATTTTCCTACTCTCGATTCGAGCACGTATATGATCCGACCACCACCCCGAGAAAAGACATGCCCAAAGAAGAAAATCAACAAAATCCAATTCGATTCGAGAAATTCAAAAGAAGATTCTAATAAGCAGAATTATCACTTCGCCGCAGAATCATCACAACCAATCCATCCTACGCTAGGGAATCTCCTGACAATACAAACACGAGATCAGAAGTGAATATCTACAATGAAACAATCGCATTGCCCAGAAAAGTATTAATCGCCCTCGTGACGATATTGCACGCACCTAAACAGATGCCGTTGCAAAGAATTCCCAATCTAATCCGATCCCAGCAAATGCCAATTATAAATGGATAGTTCTTCAATTCAAGAAATATTAATAAATTTATCATCATCATGGGCATTCCGAAATTGAAATAAAAAAAAGTAGGTCAAAAAGTATTACGAGTTATGAGCCATAAATCAATGAGATTTTATTAATGGGATTATAATTTTTTAATTAAGCACATCTTCAAGTCACCCTATCTCCGTGGCCGGAATGCGACGTAGCTTTGTTCGAAGCCGAGCCTGATTGTCTGTCGCCCAAATTTAGCATTTAGAATAGAGAGTAAAATAAGAAACAGAGAATTGGCCACGGAGATTCGTCAAGGCCCTGGCTTCAGCTACAGTCGGGACTAGTGACAAGGCATGAAGAATACATCTACACTATTTTTCTGCAGCATAAAGCCATCTCATCTGCTGCCAGGCCCTCGCATTAGCCTGCATCCGTATCCCCGGATGAAGTGTAATGCATCGCTAGGTCCATCATTGACGTGCGCCTTCGACCCTGCAAAAGGTGACCGGCCTACATCCCCTCTGGGCACCAAAAACATTCATTGCACATCAAGGGGTGGGACATATCATTGGCCAACTCGGCCTCGGCCCCATTGTCAAGGATTTCGGCTCAGGTCCAGAAGCCGCGCGCTAATGTAGGGCTGCAACGCTGCGGCCAGGGCCTGCGCCAGGTGTCAATGCAAACCCCGCACGCATTTCTGACCACGGGAAGAAGGTATCAGAATGGCAACATGCCGCCCCTCCAGCTGAAGTGCGACTGGCCCGATAGCGGTCTGAGGACGACCAGGTCCGAAGCCAATGCAGCCCCAGAGCCCCAGCCAGAGCAACTCGGACCGGCTCCCAGCTTACTGACAATCTCGACTCTCGAACTCTCGACTCCTCGACTCCGACTGGGCTGCGAATCTTGGGAAACTCCAACATCCAAAAGGCACGTGGGAAGTCACAGGCGGCCCCCTAAGTAGGGTGACGAACTAGATTGAGCAGCATGCGGTATGCCAGAAGCAGCACCACCAATAGCTGCAGTACTTTGTGAGCGCATGCGGGCCGTTACCACTTTCTTCCGCCACTGCAGGAAGTGAAAGCACAGTTCCGTGGAAACTGAGATGGAACACATCGACGTGCTGAAAGGCCACGAAGGCCTTGCCAATCCTGAAGCCCATGCATAAGCATTGCCCAAAGGTCGCGCCAGCGGAACTGCGTTTCCCAAGACACTTTGATGGCCATCCGCACACCAGCAATAACCTTGAGTTGGCCTCCAATGTTGGCTACGATGTCAGGCGGCAGCATAGGGCCAACGATGCAGTACACAGTGAGCAAAGTGTAAAAACAAGGGGGCGTTGACACTTTGCACACTGCGTACAGCATTTTCGGCCCCGTGCTGCAGCCTGACATCGTAGACCCCGCCTTGAAAAGGATCATCGCGAAGGAGGTTGGCACGCACTGTGGGTCTGCAAGGTAGGCTGTATATGCTGCATCCTCTGACCAGCGCATTGCGTGCCAAGCACTGTGCACCAGAGAGAGTGGCCAGAATTAAACTGATGCCAGTGATGACATCAAGCCAACGTAGGCAAAGACGGGATCTGAGAAGGCAGACACAAGCATACGCATCCCGGAACATTCTCTACATCTCCGAGCCTGGCTGGTGACGCGTCAGCTTTGTGGAGCTTAGCATGACTCGCTCGTAGAGTGGAGAAGGCCTGGAGGGGTGGGGGGACTTCTCTCGACTTGAAGCTGCTGCCACAGAGCCTTTCCTCATGGAGTGCCGTCAATTTCTCGCTTCAGCACACATGCTGAGACTGGCAACAAACGGCCCTGACCTCGAAAAGTCACTTTTTACGAACAGTAACTTTTCTCGCTACCTGGAAGACGCACCGGTCAGGTGCATGATCTCCTGAAGTGCCTCCGCAAGCCTCTCCAATGTCCAGGCTCGGTGTTGACTGTCTTTTCGGGAGGCTTTTGGGACTATTGGGTCTCCGCAGAATGAATAAAGCTTCGGGGATGTTCGGGGATACACGGGATTTGGGGAGCCAGCTGGTTCAAGAAAGCGCCTCTGATCCGCAGGCTGCGCTGCCTGAAATCCGCAGCATTCGCTGAAAGCACCTCGCAAGGGCGCGAAGTGAGGCGAAGCAGATGGGTTTTGATAGGCGACTAATTTAGGCTTCAAACAGGGGCTGGATGCTGGATGTTGTCTATCTGAAAGGACAACCCCCACGAGACCGGGCCAGGCGCTGGCGCAGAAATCAGTGGAATGAAGTGCTACAGCTTCCGGTGCTAGAACACCGGTACTGGCTACAAGCTCTTTGCGAGTGAGCTAAGCTATAGGCGGTTTGAGCCTCACTGACTCAGACGGCGTCGAGGCACCGAAAACGTGCGCGAGGAGTCGAACAAGGAAAAGCCTCACCACTTCAAACACTTCAAAAACTGTTAACTCCTCAACCTATCTGGCGGCCTTCAGTCCTCTATCTAAGCTCAGGCGAAGCCCTGTTTGAAGTGGTGGTGTTGAGGGTCTGGGTAAGGAAACGCCATGGAAGAGCGGCAGCGCACCGCAAGTCCCAAGTAACATGGCATCCACATACGTCACGGGTTGTCATCTGCCCATGCCAACTCGACATAAACATCACGCCTAAACCTAGGAATGCAGCCATATGCACAAACTGGCAACTTGACTCGCAAATCTACCCATTTTGGGAAAAGGATGCTGGCATGACCTCCTACATGCTGGCGCCCCGACTTGCTACAGCTACAACATCAATGGTGAAATCCACCATAACAGTGCCAATAATAACATTCGCACACGGAGCCAAAGACACCAACAATGCCTGGCCCCTCAAGTTTCACTGGCGGCTTTTTTCTCGCGATTGCTTGTCATGAGTGCGCACGATGCAGCACTATGTTCGTGGTTGGCTGACGAGAGATCTCATGCCAATAGCAAAGCCTTTGTCAAGGAATGTCGCGGAATCTGTGTCCCCAGGTCACAGATTTGTTCTTTTGCTACCCAGCCAGGCTCTCTTCAAAGGCTCTGCGTGGACAACGCAGTAGAGGATGGATTTGCCTGGATTTGCAAGGCCTTTTTGCCCCACTGCCCGCATACGTAAACTGAGAAGCAAACAAACAAGTGTCCACCGTGTCCAGGCCCAAAGCATTGTGTATAATGTGTAGTGTAGCGTGCCTAGCTCTTAGATTCAAGAAGCTACAGGGACAAACTGAAACAAACTGCAAGCCTGAGACTAGACTTCTTGCTTGCCTCTGACGCAATGCTTGCAATGGAGAGGTCAAGTGAGACGTGGCTGCCTGCCTTCATTTTGGAGATTCGCGCACATGCGATGTGACAGCTGCTTCCAACATTCAGACTGCAACCTAAACAAGTCGTTGGCAGGCTCTGACAGACTAAAGAACCTTGCAGTGCGCACAGTTGCGCCGTCGTCGTATTATTCACTCCGCAAGTTGTTGTCATCCATCTCTCCGTGGTTCAGCACTGGGGAAGGGTATTAGCATGGTACCACAGCACGATTCAACTCACTCAAGGCAAACGTTAAAGGAACATGGAAGTTAGCAGTACCTACTACTCGGTGCTGTCGAAAGAAGTAGCAACTTGCGAGAGAAAAGCGCGGGGCCAACAATCAGCAAGCAAGACCATGAGCTGCCCAATCTCACCAGAAGTTCGAGAATCAAAGGTGCTGACATTCGGGGTGAATATCCACAAAAGTAGAGCAGAAACAGCCCGATGAGCCGGCAAACTCCTTGCCACAGCGTGGTTTGGACACGGCGTGTGGTTGCAAGTGGGCGGACTCTTCCTTCGGAGAATTCCGTACCCACTGGTGAGAAGCCAGCAACAATAGAACTATAACACCCGAGGGCCTGCCTTTGCAGGCAATCTCGGGTACCTCACCGTAGCCGATGACAACGCAGAACTCTTCTCCCGGCAAAATCAGTATTGTCAAATCGTATCGAGCTTGGGTCTAAGATGTCTTGAGAAGTGTCTTATCCAATCCTCCTCCTATGGGCTGCATCGCCATAAACCCAAAGCCTAAATTACCCCCCACCCCCCCCCCCCCCCCCCCCCAAAACACAAAAAAATGGCCCAATACGTTTGGGACAGAGGCTGTCTTTTCAAGATTCTTGGCTACCTTGGCATTCAGGCGCCACTTGGAGTGCTGGAGCGGTTTCGGGAGGGACATTGTCAGACAAGGCATACAATGGGGGAATGGCAAGCAGGGCCTTTGCGAAGCTAAATTGTTAAGTTGCTGACAATCTGTTACACTTTTTAATTTTACTGTAAGATCAAGTCAACATCGGCGGCCGTCGCTAATTTTCAAACACCAGGCGTGCTCAGTGCCGCTTGGCGGAGCTTAGCGGACTGTTTTTCAGCGGTGCTCGAACCTGCGGGCAACAATCTACACATGTACGAATATACATGTGACGTATGATATGTAATATGTGATAGATATATATACATATATATATATATTTCTCAACACTCCCTTGCGCAGGCAGTGCTCCCTAGCACGTGGCCTCGCTTTGCGAGCTAACCGCTGATTTGGTCCTCGCAGCCGTGAGTCTCCATGGACTGGTTCTCTTCCCTCGCTGAGCAGCGCTACATCTCGTCCTCATGTTGAGCTACTGGTGAACCAAATGGACAAGCCAATGTAGATGGCCTTAGCTTCACTTCGGAGCACTCGTCCTCAACAAGTTTACACTAAACTGCAGTGGCATACCAGAAACTACACTTTTTCTGCCTGAGCTTTCAACCCACAAACACGCCAGCACGCCACCGGAGACATACCTTGGAGAGCAGCACCGACAAAGACGCACCCCGTCCTTACCTAACAGTTGTGCATCAGCAGCGTGCGCATCATGAATTACACGTGAGAGTCTGAGGCGTCTGCTGCGCTGGCTTGGGACCACCCAACTCGCCGCCAAAGTACCAGCGTCCTCAACGAATCGACCATTGCAGACTTAGAATGAGGGTTGGCTTCAGCACACTACTAGCGATTCTTGCTTGCAACGAGTTGAAAGACTCTGTGATGTCGATAAAGGCCTACCTACCTTTTTGAGCTTGTCCCTCTTCACACTGAACGAGAAAATCACGTGCCAAGAGCACATGGCAAAGCTGCAGCGAGATGCTCGGGCTCTTAGCGTGCGGCGGAAGATGAGCACTCCAAAGCACACAATCGCGCAGCAAGAGAAGACCTTAGCAGCACTAGCAGCACCGCCCCGTGCGTAGCCATGTCCTTGCTTGCTCTTCGGGGCACCTTGCTTATGACTTATGGCTGCTAGCTGCGTAAATGAAAAAAGGGCCCTGGACTTGCTCCCAACTCTTATTCATAATTGCTCCCCCGCATGCAATTCTAAGCGTCGCACGGCGACACTGAATGCCAGACCCTCTGAGCTGACCTGGAGGTGTCTCAGCAAACACAGGCCACCCATGAACGCAACGACATTTTTACATGTATGTGCAGGCAAAAGGTGCCACCTGCCCTCCAACTGGTGCGGTGAAGTGAAGGCAGACCAAGAAAAACGCTGCACGCATAAGCTATCGCGCGCATTTGTGGGGAGAGGACGAAAACACAGTAAAGACCGATACAAACAACACTTGCTGCGCACAGTAGCCGCTCGCAAACATACTAAACTTATTCGTGGCGACAAAAGCACGCAGCGTTCCAGGCACAGGCCCTCAGAAGAGCCAGGAATGGTCTTCGGATCACAACCGATTTAGCCGGCGCGATCAAGTCTGCAAGTGCGCAACGCCTCCAAAAGCGCAAAGCTGGGGGCCGGCAACTCCGTCCAGGCATCCGGAAGATTTGTCAACCTCAAAGAGAAGGGGCATCATGCAAGGTCAGCAGGTCGCCTGAGTCCTGTCATCGTTGCGGGCATGGACGCGGAAAGCAAAGCAACACGATAAAGAACGATGGTTTCCAGGTGTCATCTGGCCATGACACTGCAATAAGGGGTGAAAACATTGCGTCGGAAAACCGGAAATCACATGTATCAAAACGGGCTTTCGGTATGCCACCTCGAGAACGCTGTAAACAACGATGACATCGGCATGTTGGGTTTGCGCGCTAGCGCCCGACTGGAGGGAAGAACCTGAAGGCTACTGAGACAGCACATAGCTCAGAAGCTGTCTACAGTTCAGAAGCCGCGCATAGGTCTGCCTGTCAATCCACATCGTGCATGCAGACAATCAAGACGCATTCCCAGCGCATCCCAGCGCACTTAGAAGCTGCAAATGAAGTGCCAGAGTTGCACAAGAAAAAAGTCAGAGCAGGCAATACAGAAAATTACATGTCTCACATGTTACTTCTATCAAAGCCACCACACATTGCCTGGATTACTTGCGTACCTCACTCCATTGTATCAGACGGAGCAGGCATGCAAACGACAACGTGGCGCCGACGTAGAATCCGCCGTCGGGATAGGTGTTCACCAGCCTCAGTTTGCTCCACTGTAGTCAGTGGCTTCGTACGTTGCTTCCGCCAACAGGACGCGCAGTGCCGAGGTGGAGGCCCTGGATATGTAGCCTGCCATTCTGGAGTAGCTCCTTGTATGCTCCAGTAGATGGCACCAATCATCCACCTGGCCGTCGCAGTACCGATTTGCTGAGGATTAAGGAGGTGAACTTGCTCACTGCTACGTCAGTACTTGTAGTTGGAAGCACTGCAACCCCCATCTAATCCCTGACGACGCTTCAGTGCACAGAACACTGTTTGGGCGCACGGTAAGCCAATGCCAAGGAAAACGTTCACGGAGTTGCTTCCAGTGATCTGCAGTTTGTCCAGGGTGAAAACATGGGCGCGAGCAATGCCGTGCAATCACGCAGCGTCCCATGCAGCACACGTCTCTTGGTCGCTTCGTGCAAAGAGCAAAGCTTCACCAACAAAGCTTCCGACATTTCCAATGCTAGCATCAGCGTATTCATCCTGCGCCATCGTCACGAAGACAATCAGGCATTGATAACGCTTGCACATGCATTCACCACTGCCAAAGCCCCGGTTCGAGCCATGTCCTGTCTGGCTGCCGTTCTGGATGCAAATGTGTCTGGCCTCGGTACGAAGCTCGTTCTGCTGTAGGAGGAGGCAAGGGCTGGCCGGCTGCAATGAGACTTCACTAGAGACACTCTGCCCACAGAACTGACACTTCCTAGGTAAGCAGCAGAGGGCAACATACACAGGCAATCACATGCTGGTTTGATTGATTGATGTGTTCCAGACGGCGTGAATCATGCATTCGGCCCGGGACAACGAGGTGCCCATGGCCACAAGCGTGATTGCTGTCTGGAGGTCGTTGATCTAAGTCCCACGTGGAGCATGCTATACTATTCTACAACTGGCCGGCCAAATTCTGGCTGATGACAGAAATCTAGCTACTGCCGAAATAAGGCCCAAACATTCATTGCACAGCCAAGAAGAGAGGCCAAATCGCCAATGATGATGGTCACACAACCAATCATTACCTCACACATGCCGTGCGCTGCAGAATAAGTTGCCAGAGCTGTCGTAGATCAACGTCTGCGAAAACACCCGAGCATCGAGCCAATGCAATAACGAAGCAAAGCCTGAGCTGCGACAAGTGCAAACATGCCAAGCTGGCGCGATGCAGCATATAGAAAAAGTATGTGTGTATATATATATATATTCTGTATGTATATGTGTATGTATACATAAAATATACATACGTAATACATTTTGCAGGACACACACACATATATCTATATATACATGCACATTGTGAGGTGCTAAGGCGCAGGCCAACCACCACAGTACTCGGTTGGCGGCACGAGAGCAAAGACCACTTTCCACGGAAAGGAAAGCAGGTGTAGCACCTCAGTCTATCTGTCAAGCTCATCGACATGAAATGCGGCGGAAGATGGCGTTCTATCACGAACAGACATGGAAACGCGCAGCACAAGCATCAACTGAGAGCCTGAGCCCCTGGCAAACTCAAACCATGACGATTTGCTTTGTTCCTCTTTGTCACCACCACCTACATTCCAACTTGTTTGTCGGAAACTCCCAAGGAATCCGACATTCGAGCGAAGTAAATGAAATGAACACACGCTCTCTCTTTCCAACCTCTCCTATCAATGAATTGCAGGCTTTGCAAGCCAGCGGTCAAGGACTCCATGCGAAACTTCATGAAGCTTCTCAATAAAAGACAGAAACCACAAAACACACACACACACACACACTTGTTGAAACCACGAGGGTCAATCATTGGTGAATCTCTGGTATAACAGCGGACTCAAACATCAAGCCGGAGCGAAACAGACTCAGACCCCCACCTTAGTAGCAGCGGAACGGCCACCAAGGAAACATAAACAAACTCACCCCATGGAACGCCGCAATCGCACTTGCATACAGACCGATCAGACCCTCAGTTCGCACATTGTCTAAGGTCCGCGCTTCAAAACTGTTACTGGAGTTTCGTCGGAGGTTCACTGCCAGGTTTTTAACAGTCATACTCTTCAGATGCCAGCTCTTAAACCTTGACAGGAACACTCCGGGCTGGCATGACCCCAGATTCGCTTTTCCACATGCGTGCTCTCACCATTGCAGTCAAAATTTGGATACTGCCCTTTGATACAGGGTTGCACACACACACACATCACAACATATCCAAAAACATATTGTAAGGAAGGCGCCTTATTACCTTCTAACACTGGCTTGTTGTTGCTTCTTATCTCTGATTCACCCTTGCATGTGGGCACAAAGACATATTTAAACGGATAAAGAGAACTCCCTCGGTCAAGAGATCTCTCACAGAGTGCCCAGCAGTAGAGCGCTTGAAAGAACTGGTCCAACCAGGCCTTGGCTACTGAAAGAGGAGAAATCAGATCTCTCAGCAAGCTGGACCATGTTACGGGTCTCTCCAAAACAAGCAGTGATATGAAAAAGCACATCACGAACTCGCATGCTCATGGAATGCTCAAGTGCTCTGAGATAGAGGCCGCATTGCCCAGAGATACTTCGTCCCAGTTTGGGGACAATGTTGACACAATCTGCAGGAAGCACAGCGGGAAATAATTATGCAAAACAGCCCGAGCTCCTGTTTAAGTTGCTAGTTCACACGGTTGGGTATGAAGAAAAGTGCCAAGTGATGGCAAAGCATAACTTGCAGGTGTCAAGCCCGTCCTTGTCCATAAAGGGCTTGTGCGACACATCGGCCAAGATCCACACCTGAGTACAACCAGTGCCACTTGGCAGGCCACCCACCCACCCACCCACCCATCCACCCACCCACGTGCGCGTGCACGCGCACAAAGACGCACCGAAGGACAGACAAAGACACACACACACACACATACATACATCTCACACGCACATGCACGTGCACATGCGCATACGCGCACGTGCACACGCCCAGGTATGCACACACACACACACACACACACACACCCACACAGACAGACACACACACACACACACACACACACTTTTACACATACACTTACACTTACGCTTGCACTGGCACCGTACACTGGCACGTACACTTGCACACACACACACACACTCGGACTTGCACTTGCACTTGCACACGCATTGGGGTCCAAGGATGCCCTGCGAAGCCCTTGGCGGGCACTTCACTTGAACTCAACTTCTGCACCTCTTGTTCTTAGTTTACTACAAGTACCAAAGTGTAAATGCGAGTGGGTGTTGTCTACAAATGGCCCTGAGCTTGGCAGCTGGCGGTGCACACGCAGGACTCGCTACCACCATCCGTGCTTGAGTCAAAGCGAACTCCTGTTGCAGCTCGCATGTTGCATGACGACACGAGACCTTAAGTCTGTGAGACGAAGTGTGCGAAGAACAGGCTGCTGCTCACCAGGACCGCCAAGGACTGCTGAACTCCGATCTGCTCATCTCGGCCTCCAGAGGGCTCTTCCAGGATCACCCTGAACCTCAGGTGTTGAGCTTGCTCGCTGAACAAGGCAGTACATACACCATTGCGTGACAGGTAGCGGCATGCCTCTCGACACAGCACACTTCAACACCAGTTGCAGAGCCCCCATGCAGACATTGCAAGGAAATAGCGTCCGTGATGCGGTCATACCGTCAAGTCATATCGAGGGCCGAAGGAGATGGGCCACTCTCGAACCGTTTACATGACTCACTGCCCGTACCCTCGGCCCTGCGGCCTCTACGACTCATCACAACCAGCCACATCATCCAGGGTCTGAGACGGTTCCTCCAAGAGCCGGACTTCTCCGTGCTTTCATAGCGTCCCTTTGGCATAATGTCTACCTGGCATGGGTCTGTCAGGCAACCCACTATAGCCCAAGGGCGGTTTTTGAACTCCCCCACAACCGGAACACATTTAAGCAACTGTCTTCCTCTGATTACACTGAAGACAGGCCAGGCTGTCGTAAAGTGAGGCCTCCATCTGTCCTTCAGCAGCCGTGGCAGAAGCAGGCAGCAATAGCGATGACCACGGCAATTGAAGTTTTCTCGCTCACGCTACAGATCACACAAAAGTTCAGACAGCTGAAATCGACTTGCGAGGGAGCCTACTGTCTGTAAAACGTCAGACCAACTTGTAGCAAGGAGGGCCTGCAGCAAACTCCAACTCGCCCTCCAACTTCGAGTAGTCAGGTCCTGCTTTGGCCTCGGGAGAGTTTTCTGGAGCTGTTGCGTCATGTCACGCTGCCCATGCTTTGGGTGCCAAGCGGATGCATCTTCGGTTCTGTATTTGCACGTGACAGCTCCTGTCGGGACATTCTCATGGAGCAGCTAAGAAGGAAGGCTCGCAACTCAGTGCGGCATGTTGTTGCTGTGTTTAGGGACAGCCATGTGAGAGGTCCTGAGGCACCCATCTTCCGTCGGATCTTGATCTCAACTTGTTGTTTCTGCGGGCTCTCCTAGCAAATTCACCGGTTGTATGCGAATGACGATGTAGCCACACAAACACCAACTTGAAAGCAAGAGCAAAGTTTTAGGACCCCCTGGACGCTTGTAATCCTTCCCTTCATCCACAACCGGGTCCTCTACTTTGATCTCTTCGTTCACAAAACCAATGATGCCTGGAAGGTCATCATCGACAATCACCTGGCAGAGGCGAGATCGAGAAAGTAACAAGCTCAAGTGAATCATGCGGTCGTGGGCAGGCGCGGGATTGAAGGATGAGTAGATCGAGGCATGGGGATGAGCTTCGATTGATGTCTGCAAACTTGCAGGGATGACTACAGTTGCTTCCTTCTTCTCGCCGATACTGGCTTCCGCGTTGCCGGTGGCCACCGCTGAGCAGATCTCCATGTAGAACTCCTGGAACGCAAAAGAAAAATGCAGCACTAACTAAAACATTCTGTCTCTCAAGGAGGCTTCACTTGAGCTACCTTGAGCTATGTACTTCACAGGCCCAGAGTAGCATCCTGATCATCTTCATACAGATCATCGTCAATGATTTCAACTTCAATCACCTCGCACAAGTGTTGCATGCATGTGCAGAAGCATCAATGACGGGGTGGTGGAGTGATGCCTCGGTGCTGATCCACCTACTTGCGAACTTCAAGTACTTCTCATCATCAACACATACGAGTCTGCAACGCTTCTTTCTCCTGCTTGGTACGGCTTCTGTTCAGCAAGTCAACTCTTCCCTACGGCCTGGTGCGAACTGGCCATGATACCGCACGCCAGGAGCCTGAAATGTGAAGCTCAACATAGCAGGTGCCCTGGGCGCTCTGAGCCCGAGGCACTGCAATGCACCAAGATACGTTGCGGCCCAGCTGATTCGAGGGATGTGGTCCTAGGACCCGTGTGTTGGGTCCCGCAGCCACACAGCCAGGATGGAGGACCTTCTCTGGATCTCCATCAAGCAAGATTTGGAAGCTCACGAGCCCTCCGGCATCTAAAGGTACATCCGCTGCCCAAACATGCTGGCAGCCAGGCGTACCTTGCCGCACCATGGGAACAGTTGTCTGCCAGCCATCCCATGAACCGATGAGATCGTACCCCCTCTGCGGGTGAGCATGAGCAGGCAAGGAGACAGTCCCGGCTGGCCAAAATGGCAATGACTGGGTGGGAGAAGTCTCTTCTACCTCTACTGCTTTCTGGTGCGAGATCGAGGTTAGCACCATGCCCATGGTTCCAGTGATGCTGTGGCCTTTGATGCCCACAATTGAGTCTCGACGTGGGGATCTGGCTATCTCTGTTGGCAGGAGACATTGGAAGTCGTTAAAGTCGTTGGAAGATTCGATGATTGGATTCAACACATACAAATGCTGGATGGGTGCCGCGTGGCAACAAGTGTGTGTGCTCAGCAGAACGCGAAGGAGTGCACAAATGCCGGCAGCTTCGAGGCAATGTGCCTGAGCAGCTTTGCATGACAACAGGGGCAGCGAGCGAATCTGCGAGTCTTCGTGGCTGTCAGCCGGACACAGGATAGTTGAGACAGCTGCTATCTCGATTGCATCACACAGCTGACGTCCTTCTGCATTGCAGTCGAGTGCAGCCACAGAGGTCGGATCCAGCTTTGCACTGCCCAGCGTCTCTGAAACGAGCGACTGCTCTGCAGGGCCACTCGGGGCGTGGAGGCTCGCAGCCGCTGGCTGGTGCTTGGAGCAGGCACTTTGCAGGACTCCCATATTGCCCCCTGAACCCTCCTTGTCAAGGGCCTCCAGCACAACACAACCACAGCCCTCTCCCCGAATATAGCCTGCTGCTTCATGTGCGAAGGCCTTACAGCGTCCATGAAACCCTCCCTGCCACATCACCCCGCTTTGAGACAAGGCGATCCACGTCACTGGCAAAAGCATTGTGGAGACGCCCATGCACAAAGCGCGAACATTGTCTGACTTCTGCGGGTCTAAAGACACGAAACCACGTTCCAGAGTCAGCAGAGAAGAGGCGCCCTCACAAATGACTGTCAGGGAAGGTCCCATCAGACCCAGGTTGAAGGAAATGCGATTCGAATGGATTGCCGTGCTGCCACCGGTGCATCCGTACATGTCAGCAGCCGGATCTCTAGCGCAGTTTGGCGTGCAAGGCCACTCATGCATTCCTGCACCGACATAAACTCCCGAGGTTGATCTGTTCAACATCTCGCGGGTGAGGCCCATGTTGTAGAAGACCTCCTCTGAACACTCCAGTGCCATCCTCTGCTGTGGATCCATGGATATGACTTCTGCCGGCGAAATCTGGAAGCGCTTGTTGTCAAAAAGGTCTGCCCCGTCCATGAATGCGCCATGCTTGCAAAGCGCCTTGTCACCTTCACTTCCGTCCTCTGAATAGTACGGAGTGTGATCCCACCTGGCAAGAGGCACCTCAACACAAAAGTCGGCTCCGGCGAGGTGTGGAGGCCAGAAGTGTCGAACCTGGTGAGTAGTGGCAAATTTGCAGGAAGCGGCTCGAACAACAGTTTGGTGGCCTGAGCCTGTGGGCATTTGGGCGCATAAGGCTTGCCAAGCAGGCAAGAAGCTCGTCGGTCGGACGACTTGCTCCGTAGCATCATCCGCCTCCATCGCCACATACCCTGTGACTGGCAAACCCTGTGCATCTGCCTGTCCCGACTGAGTTCTAAGCCAGAGGTTGTTGTCAACTGTCTCCAGGCTACCCAAAATGACATCACCCTTGGAGAAGGCCTCCAATCGAGCAGCCCCGGAGCCTGGAGCACCTGGAGCACGAGGAGCCTTCAGCTTGTACACGTATGGGACCATGACCCGCCATTCCGAGACGTGAGAGATTTTAGACTGCTTCACACTTTCCCTGCGCTGCTCGAGACGCTTGCTCAGCCAAGCTTGTAGCTGAAGAATACCAGGAACACAGCTGCCATGCTCCCGAGGCTGATTCAGTGCTGTCCAGTCCGTCCTTGGCTTGCTTCCGAACAGCCAGGAAACCACGAAGTCACCTGCATCGCCCGCAACCGTCTGCCAAACTAGGTTGGACCGTATGAGCAACAGCTTGCCACAAGGCAAAGTGAAGCGATGTGGCTTTACAGCGAACTCTCTACTCACAAGTCGCACCGGTGGCTTCGCATCCTCCTCTTCCTGGCTGTCTTCCTCTGCATTGTCTGCGGCATCGGTGTCGTGGGCCCCTTCATGGGCCCCTTCCTCCTCAACTTCTACTACGCCTAGTTCTCTTCCGAGACACCGCAGTTCAACATCCACTGATGAAGGACCCACCGCCAAAATTGCGGTCAGCTGTTCAGCCAGTAGGCACGGAAGCCATCGCTCCACGTCAGACTCTTGCAAAGGTGGGGCAGATCGACCATCCCAGTTGCCTGTTTCATGCAAAAAGCAACCCAATTGGTTCAGCCGGTTGCCCTGTGCACCGATGGAGTCCACTGCATCGCGGACTGCTCTATTCAGGTCCCGCAAGTTCTCAAGGCGTAGGCGCCGGTTTGATACTTCGTCAAAGGGGATTTCACAGATACGCGCCGACCCTCGCCTTCCGAGGAAAGCATCCAGAAGCTCTTCTGGAGGACTCTGCAAGCGACGACGCAGAGATCCAGCATCCCTCTGGCAAGCCTCCAAGCTTTGCAGGTCGCGACCCAATTCGAGAACCGCGAATCCCTGCAGGGCTAGATCTTGCTCGGTCCTGATATACCCGTCCTGGCATGTGCTGACAGCACTCATGGCGGGGAACGCAGCACCTACATCCTCCAACTGCAGTCACATTCACAAGCTATACATGTACACCAGGTGACCGCACTGAGAAGATACACCTACAACTTAGTCACCCTCATCAGAGCCATGCGACGGCCTCCTGCAAGCCGAAATGACAAACATATCAATTTCTACTGTCGACACAAAGGGTTTGATGCCCAGCTGAAAAATGAATCATGCAAAGAACGGATCGGGAGAAGCAGGATGCCCACCAAAGCGCGCCTTTTCAGTCTCACCTTCTTCGAAGAGGATGTTACCCTCCTCGTCAACATGGTGTGTCGTTACAGAGCAAGGCAAGGACCCCTCACATGCAAAGACTTTCGCAAGCTTCTTCAGCGCCCCGGCCCTACATAGGCACACAAACAAGATTTACAGAGAACACGCTTGCCTACGCTCTCCTAAGCGCATGAATGTACCGGATACCAGCAACCTCTCTTGCACCTATCTACAGCCCCTCGCTGCCTGCATTTTGAAGTCTTTCCCGGCTTGGGCACTGCCACATCGAGTGCGCCAGAGTACCTCCAAGCGTTCATACTTAGCAAAGGGATGCATTCTTCATCCCAGCTTGATTAGCCACTTGACATCAGGGTGGCAAGGTCACTGTCACAGGAACGTTACAGTCGCCCGAGCGGGTTAAGCCAAACTTCGCAGTGCCGACACTCTCAAGGACCTGGCATCAAGGGCGCCTTTGCAAAGGCCTTCAAATCCAAAGTCGAGAAGCGTCATCGAAAGACGAATGTCCATGCACTAAACTCAGTCAGAGTTCATTGCCAGTGGTTCAACCCACACAACTGGGCCCTGCGCTGAGTACTGGGACGAGAGGAACTCAACAATCGGACCGGCCTGGAGGCTCAACAAGAACTATGATTGCAGTGACATTTCAGATTATGGAATTCTTCCTGTTGTCCATGGGCCTTGACAGGTCTGTTCGTCTCATTGGTGATTCTGCCCAGTGCCTTCGTGGCTTCCTTAGCGTGGCACACAAAATTCGACAGGTGCATGGACTAATTTCAGGTGCACCTGCATACCCTGACACAAAGCAGCTAGAGCATCTAAGAGTGTGTCCAATTGTTCTCGGAATTTGTCGTTGATACCCAGAACCTGCAAGAAAGATTCTCGGGTCACAGCACGTGATCTCATCATCAACTGGATTTGGATTTGTGGCGGCCCTTCCACATGGCCAACGCAATGACGGGACCCGTTGCGCCCGCCGTGTCTCATCTAGCTACACAGATGCACGAGTGCAATGCCTCCTGAATCAACTGCGGGAGTCGGTCCGCCTTCTTTCCCGCTGAGATGTCTCTAACAGCCGCAACACGATACCTGGCATTCAGGAGCAGTTGTAATGCATAGAAGTCTGCAGGTTAAAGTGCATCTAACTTCCGGCATTCCTCGCCGCATCACATATTCCACACTCCGACCAGACTTACACACTTTGAGCATTCTTTAGCCGCGGCATACAGAGTTTCGTTCATAGATTGGATGAAGTTGTCTGGGGGAATGCCGCGGCTCGGAACAACGAACAAGCTCTGGATTCGACAGACTTCTTCTGTCTCTAACACAGCTTCGGAAGTGGCTCAACCAATGAACAGCCTTAGTCTTCCATTCCGCGCCCGGAACAAACAAGCCACTTTAAACACGTTACATTCTGAAAGACCTCATGCAAGACAGCTCGTTCTCGTCGTGACAATGACATGTGCTGTACTATTGGACCCAATCTCGCGGCGCACTGGGCGCGGCTGCGCCGCTTGTGGCTCTCGTAGTGCAGGGCTGCCAGGACCTGGCACGCTAAAAGAGCTGGCTCATGTTTGGCAGTGTGTGCATGCACACCCTCTTCCCCCCTTCCCCTCCCGGCCATTTTTCTCTGAGGCTTTGTGGTAAGTTAAACTCAGTACAGTGACAGAGATTCCCTTTCGCAAGCTTGGCCATGGCAAACCAACGCTCAGCCCGCCTGCTCTTGGTTCAGATTATCTCAGCGACCAGGGACCATTTGACAATGCTCAACAAACGACATGTCCAACAGCAAATTCAACTGTGGGTTGAAAGACTGAGGCAGCAAAGCAGACCCAGAAGAGAAGAGGGGCCCAGGTTCGGGTACGGTAGATCAAAGTCTTGTCACTGGAATTTACGCATGCCGCATGCCTATCATCTGGAGCTAGGCGAGGCACCGCCAAAATCGCGCCGCACTTGCATCATGAGTTCAGCCAGCTGCTCCGGTGTAGCCTCCGCATCAACTAAGTCGCACAAACTTGGATCCTGATTCCTACCTTGTAGCAGCAACCTTGCTCTTTGTGAGTTCGCGTGGGCCATGGACATTAAAAACATCGTGCCTCTGACCAAACAATGTGACTGCTGGGTTCGCGAGTCTTGCCGAACACACCGATATCTGCCATGTACCTGACAAACGGACATGATTACATGCTGCCACTGCATCTCCAAATGCCTACGGCTACAACATATTCACGAGCTCAACCAATGATCACGGCTTTGATTGGCGTCTGTCACAGGAAAGACCGACACAGCATGCGCAGCATTGTGCAACTAAGGCATGGACGAGAGAACCACCAGTAGGGGGAAGAAGAGAAAAGTCACGACCCCTTCCCAAGGGTCAACCATGTCCTGCAACAGATGCCGAAAGAGCTCCTCTGCTGTCTGCACTGGTCTGTCTTACTCTTCCGTACCCAAATAATCCCAAATGAGTACTTAACAAATTTAACAATGACCTCTCAACAATGATACCCTAGGTGCCTGTGAGAAGGCCATGAGGATAATGAGGAGCCACCTCAGGCGGAAGTAACCACTGGATATCCAGCCAGCTGAACCAGAATTCATGGAATCATGTCATGCTGTAGCCCCAATTCTCTGGTCTTTTTGGAGTCTCGGGTCCGCGGTTCCATGCTTTTGGAAGCCACAAGCCTGCTCCCGCAGCTTCTGACACTCTGAGCGCAGCGCAAGTAAGCAAATACGGAGAAAGTGCCGGTGATGGCGAACACTTTCCGGTCCTGGAGTCGCGCCCCGCATCTGCTCCAAGCGTGCCCATGCTTGCACAGAACGGCATCAGCATCATGCAACGTTCCGAGGCACTTTGATCAACTTGATCTCGCCGTCCGGAAGGGCTGCGATGCAGACCTCGCAAGATTGACGCAATTCTGACTGCCACGATGTTGACATCAAGGAGGACACGGGGATGCAAACGGGAAGCTCCCTGCAGCAATTGCAAAAAGCTTGCTTCGATGCCAGCCAAGACACAGCAGTGATGCCGAGAAGGTTAAAGGCAGCACTGCCAACCTCGGGCACAGAATTTAACGGGATGTGGGGCCAGTCGGTAAACAAGTTGCATGCCACATTGCGGACCAAGCCAGTGGCGATAGTAGACGCACCAAGAGACCCAGAGTAGAAGTTTGCACCTCGCACTGAAAAGCATATTGTACATTTGCCACTTCCTCCAGGACTGCCACATCCGAAAGGACAGGCCTGCCAGCTCAATGATGCTCAACCTCGAGCTGCCAAGTGAAACGAATTCTTGCGTGCCAATCGCACATGCAGGTGTTAGCCTGTGGAAATCACCGAAAGCAACGTAGCAGCAGCGTAGCACTCAGGGCGTCACAAGATTTCAGGAGCACTAGAGCCCAAAGCCATGAGCGTCAAGTTGGCCACCGTGTCATTCCATACCTGTCCGTATGCGCACTCCACCCGACTGCTCAGGTTCCTGCGATTCTGCCCGCACTGAACAGGCACTTGACTTGGATGCCTTCACGGTAGTCTTTTTGCCTGTATCCTTGTTTGTGATCTGCTTCTTCACTGATGTGACTTTCTCGATGGAGGCCATGAAAACCTGCCAAAATGCACCGAAACGGGTTCGCATCGTGCATCGTACTCCAGCTTCTACAAAGTTCGAGTAAAGGCCACTGCTACTGTCCACCCCCACACACTTGTCGTCTGAGAGGGGTCACTCCAGTTGTATTCCGATCAGCTAGGTAGGCTCCGCAACTTCGTCTCACCATCCCTCCCCCACACTGTGGTGCAGATCGGGCACATCGGCAATGATGGCCACTCCCAGAAAGCAGTAGAGCAGTCCGATCAAGTAGAGGGCCACCTCACTCCAAGAGAGGATGATTGCTATTATTGCCAGGGTCTCAAACAGTCATGTGTGTAAACTTCAAACACCCCTTTCGCAGCCGCTGGGAAGCATGCCTTCACACCAGTGGGCCAGTCCTGAGACAGGTGCACGCTCAATTCCACGTGTGTCCACGTGCTGGCTGATGCCCAACGCCACATAGACTGTCAAGGCGGTGGCTCGCTCCCAGTCACCACCTAGTGGCAGCCAAATGCCGGAGCCACCTGGGGCATTTGAAGGTATGTCATGTAAGCATGGGCTAGCCTCATGTGCACATTTTGTTAACAACAGACTAGAAATTGCGCGCTCGTCAGAGGTTGCTTGAAACCCTTTACATGCAGCCCATGTCCCACCGCCATGTAGGCTTTCATTTTTACAAGGCGAAGCAGCTACACCATTTCCCGCTGAATCTGCAGGGCGTGTACGTCTGTCTGCATGTGTGGAAGTGGCGGAAATTGGAGGGACTACAAAAGCTCCTTGTTCTTGTTTCAATCCCTACATCTAGTCTCGTTTCATGCTCATGGCATTGCAAGCTGCTGCTTGCCAATGTCAAAGAGTCAAGGGTGGGTAGGCAAATTCGATGCATCAAACTAGCATCTTGTCTTGAGTCCTGCTCCAATCCACCCAGCAAGCAGACTTAAAGTTCAGAGCCCTAGGGGACAGTGAGAACGCTAGTGATTGCGGGGATCGCGGCGCTGATGTCTAAATCCATTGTTGCTGCGACGTGCTTTGCGGCCTCTTGACGTTGATGGATTTCAGGCTGTTGCGCCGTTCTCAGGAAAGGTTTGAGGCCCCGGCCTTCGCAAATTCTAAGCTCTGTGCTCCTGAGCAGCAACACACGGTCACTTGTCGTATATGTCGGATGCACCCCTACATCCCGAACAAGCAGAAAGCCCAACCCTGCATCACTGGAACTTCTCGACAAGCAAGAGGCCTTAGGCCGGAGAAAGCCTTTAGCATCTAAGCTCCATGCGCCATCGTCTTCCCCTCTTTAAGCCCTTCCACCAGCCTCAGCCGCTCGGGTCTCTACTGCGAACACTCGTCAGGCGTTGCCCGGCCTTGCAAAACGCTCGCGGCTGCGGAGGACAATGTACAGCGGGATCCGGTCTCTGGCTTGAAGTCGAGCCAAAGACTACGGAAGATCATGTTGCGACTCTGGGCATCCAAAGCTCAGCAAGCGCGGTGGACTTGCATTGTTTGTGGCATTGCATCTGTTTCGCATGGCTGTGAAGGGTGTCCTGTTCGCTGGTCGGCCCGAAAGGCGCGTCACCACACGCTTGCGCTAAGAAGCCCCAGGTCGAATTCAACACCAAAGAAGAGCTTGCCTTGTTCCTGCCTGCTTTTGCCATACTTGTCGTTCTTGGAAGCACTCCAAGGCACTGTCAGCGTAGTCAGGGAAACAGCAAAAGCAACAGCAACGGGACAAGAAAATGAACGGCTGCGCTGCAGCATCCTACAGAACGACTCGTATAAACAGAGACCACCAGAAGATAAGCAACAGCGGCGCTTCATGCTGTGCGAGAAGCAAACACGGGACGGCATAGACAAGTGCAAAGCGGGGTCGAAAAGTCGGTGCACAGCAGCAGGGGCACAATGCAATAGGAAGCATGCTGTGTGCTAAGCCAACCGGCTCAACAAAATGAAGAAGCAGGTCTGCCGCAAGGCGGGGCAGCAGACAAGCAGAATTCATAGCCCAGCAGGAAAATGCAGGAACGAAAAGGAAGCATAAGCAGTTCAAAGCAGCAGGGCGCCACACTCTTCGTCTTAGACGATGGCACGGTTGCGAAAAGAAGTACGCTTTGTGCGATGGCTATCTGCCCACCTTTGAACTGCAAGCGTATTGCATCGTTCATGTGCACACAGAACCTCGGCCTCACCTGTAGTACCGTAGTACCACACGTCAGGCATCAGGCAAAGCATGCTCCGACTCTAGAGATGTCCCAGATATTTTTGTCCACACGCTGTGCCATGGTCATCTGCGCATGATCGAAATCAGCGCAGGCCCTGGATCTGCACCTTTCAAGGCAAACATGGGCCCTGTGACAGGTCTTTGGGAAGATTGAAGAAGCTTCCATCCTTGATCAGGGCTAGTTCCGCAATAGGATAGTATTGGGTCTGCCCAACTTGACATGTCATGTCTGCGAGGTTGGCTATTTCCCAGCCTCTCTTATGCCAAGACAACGCAAACAATCTGGTCACATTCACCCAGATAGCCCGAGCCTTACTGGTATTGGATCGTACGGAATGAGGGAACTTCCTAAGTTGGTTCCAAAACAGGCCATAACCATGAAAACCCCAACATGCGGCACCAGGTAACCGACTTGCAACCCACTGATTAGATTCCTGGGCCTCTAAGGGATCTCAAGGTACGGTCTTCCGAACACCAAGGCACCGAAAATAGAAAGGGAAGGCCTCGGCTTCATGCTGCCGCAGAACTGCCTCCCATGCAGTGTCTTTGACAGAATCATGTGGTATCATGTGGTCCTCGGAGAACCCAATAGGAGCGGAGTTTAGAGAACTGCCCATGCCTCTGATTGTTTGCTGCTGTGCTCGCGGCTCGAGGCTTAAGACTGCAAGAGCTGCCCGGGCGTCGCCTTTCAGTCTTCGTGTCACTTTTCTCACTTTATCTCACTTGTGCGCGGCGTGGAGCGGCTGCGTCCCCCTCAACCGTGCGAGGCTTTGTGCCCCCAACGGTCAGACAGCTTGTGGCTGCTGCTTAAAGGCTCCCTGGCACAGTAATGCTTCTTGATCTTCTACTCCCTTCGCTCAGGAATAAGGCAAGTATGCTGATCAACTTGCAGACAATGGCCTTGCAGATCGGACGGGTTGTTCATATCCTACAAACGATTCGCAAGCAAAATGAAGCAAGAGCCGCCAAGACACCACGGCTTTGAATATGTCCACCACAGCAATGGCCTGTGCAGCTGCATAGCTCAAGTCTGCTGTCTGAGAAGCTGACAGAGCTCTTGCCTGCGCAAAGTGGGCCACCACAAACTGGACACTCTGGTGAGCAGCAAAGCTCACCCCTCTGAAGACCCCCACCTCGAATGCTTGAGCTAGGCAAGGATACGCTGTTTGAAGCCAAGTGGTCATTGCCGAGCCCTGCAAACTCGCGCCATGGTGTTTTTGAGGGGGTGCAACAGTAAAGACGACGGCTCTTCCACAGACGAGCGTCGGCACCAGCCGCTCTCAACCTCCTTGCTTGCCTCGGGACCCGTTGTTGAATCCTAGCCATGCCTAGCCATGCCTAGCCATGCCCAGCCTCGTTTCTGGATGCCAAAAAGTGCGAATGCATGAAATACCTATGTTGACACCCAGGTCACCTGGCATACCCTGGCCCTCACTAGGTCGAGGCAGGGTGCAGAAGCTCCAGAATCAGAAGTCCCACCGACCCATGGCCTCCAGAGAACTCACACTATGCGAAGCCGATATCTGGAAAGACTGACACCTCCAATTCCACTGGCAATGAGGCATGCCGTCAAAGATGGCGGGGTCTGCCTAGCAGGCTCAGAGTTCTCGTGCCATGTGGACAACTAAGTCGGAACTCGCCCAAGAAGTGGCAACCAAGAGGTATGGCCTCAAATTCGGGGCGTCCTGCTCGCAGCGTCTCCAAGTAATCGGAGTGCCGTCTGAGGAAGCCAAACATTACCTGAGCTCACGTTGTACTCTCGGCGTGAAGGCACCACTGATGCAATCAAGCAGTGAAAGCAGTGGTGCCACCACGATGCCCGACCACATGGATGTGAGATGTTGATATTTCGCATCCTCAGCGCCCATACGATGTCATGGAACAGTGGCGGCTAGGTTGCAAACACGGCGGGCCAACATCCCTGCAGCCCATTTGCAGCCATTCGATGCTGATGGGGCCTGCTGGGTGGTGACCTGGCGGCTTGCGCAACCTGGCGTGCTAGCAGAGAATCCACGGGGCTTAACTGTGTCCTGCACCATCAAAATGTTGAGCCGGGAACGGGTTGTAGTTGTAGTTGCAAAACCTTCGTCCGGGCTTGGCTGTTGAGCTACGCAAGCTGAGGCTTCATCAATCTCATATGAGAAGATGCCGGGCAGCGTTCTGCTGTCTCTGCTGCCTATTTGGCCCCAATAGGCATCTAGCAGTTCGTCAGTCCTTAACAACTGAGAGCTACCCAGCGACTCTGTGTTTGCACACTCCTCGTGCATGTCACCAGTTAGGCAGGAGTCAGATACAGCATCTCGCCCTGGAAGCGCTGCTTCAGCAAGTCGAAGGCATAGCTGCCCCCCCCTTGCTTGTACGGTCTGTGCAGGTTCTTTGCCAGATCCTCGGCCCCAGGTACCAGGAGTTCCATGAAGTGCCAGTAGATCGGGAAATCGCACAGGCTGCTACTCTGTCTGACTCCAGGACTTGCGCTTGCAGCTTTCACTCGGCAAAGGCCAACTCATGCCCAAGTACTGTTCAGCCTGAGATTCCGCCCTGATTGTGTTCAATCCGATGCGGCTGTTGGAGTACAAGGCCTAGTGCAGGCTGTGTGCAGCTATGTGCAGCTTCAGCTGCTCCTGCCACTCTTGTCCGTGATCACAGTGCTCCCAAGCTGCTCCGAGCTGAAGTGTGAGAATGGCACCGGACCAGCCCACAGCAATCCTGCAACGAAGCCGCAAAAGCCCTAGCAGTGCTCGAACACAACGGATGTCGCAAAGTACCATGGACTTGTCCAGCCTTTTCAGGTAGTCGCAGTATGGCAGCAAGGAGCCGAGGGTGTGGCCTATGCTGCTTCTAGGAAGTTCGAACCTTATAAATAAAAAAACTGCCGGCTTCGAGGCTGGCACGGTGGAAAGCTAAAGCATTGTGGTCAACGTTGAAGGCCGATCCTCGGGTGGTCTTGCCTCGGCTTTACGAAGATTTGCAGCTGGTGAATGCACGAGCTGGCCACCTAGAAGCAAGTGACGGCAAGCTCTACATGCCACTTCAACTCATCGAGCAGTCGACCCCCTCCAAGCGCGTGAAAATGTCGAGTTCGGGTGATGTAGCCGACTGCTGGCAACTCCTGCACTAAGAACTTCTCGAACTTGGTCCATGAGCCCGCTTCCGGAACCATCGCAAGCATGTCGTCATCCAAGAATATGTAGTACCTTGCTGCGAATGTATCATTGCGAGACAGCGTGGTGCCGGAATGCCAGCGTCATGCTGAGCCAAAATACACTAAACCGGTTTCTCTACAGCATGCTACAGCCATTGACCATCCCTCACTGACTTTTGAAATTCCTATATACCTGGATGGCCTCCATTCTTTCGTGACAGCGCTGCACCTACACCATGCCTGTCCGGCTCCACATATGTCTAGAAACTAGTAGTCTATGTCAGAGGTTGCGGTTATATGAGGGCCTTCGTAAGAACAGCACCTTTGATGGATCTTCAGGTGTCGTCATTGCTCCCTTTCCCCTTTTCCCACGTTAACATTTCTCAGTCATTGAAGATCCAGGGCACAGATAGCCGGGCCAGCAGGCACGGTGCCGGCGACGCAGAGCCGCTTCCAGAAGCAGGTTCCGACCCTCGCCCCACCAAGCCTGGCAAAGCGCCGAAATGAAGCGCACAAGGGTTTTGAGAGCATGTAGAGTTGAGCTTAGACACGGTGTTCTCATGGAGTCTCTTGTAGTTTGAACTGATCTAGGCGCTCGCTGACTTTAGGCCCTCGCAGTCACACTTGCCAGCCGCCAAGGTTCAGGCCGTAGGGGACTAGGATGGACTAGGCGAATTCGTGTTGGTGAGGCGATCTCTCTGCTTCCGAAAAGCTTCTCCTACGGCCAGGAGTGGCTGCATTGCCATCATCTGCAGAGTGGCGACGCTTCTTGCAGCTTGCGGAACTGCAGTCGCACGCATGCTTGAGATCTATCGTTGATGTCTGCTTCTGGCATTCTAGGATTAGATTGAGGATGAGTGCTTGGTCGATTGGCCAAGATGAGCACGATCTATAGTTCTAGAAGCTGTGCTGCTCAACACCGGACCAAGGGACTCAAGAGACCAACAACACATCGCTGCGAGGCATAACTAGATCCTGCGCATTCGGCCTGTGGTTCGTAAAGCACGTCTGACACAGGGATGTCGACATACTCTCCGGCGTATTGTTGACGGAAGGACAGCCACAGAACGTCTCCTGGACTGCTCTGACTTGGGGTGCAACTTGTGCGTTGACATCAGGGGAAAACTTGGAGTAGTGGCGGTTCCGCTGACCTGAACGACTTCTCCTTTCTATGGAGGTTTCTGCTAACCACCTCATGAGTCTTCTCTTCAAAGCATTCTTGGAGAGGGCTCGGGCTGCGCCGTTCTTTGCATCAGCACGTTCCTTTACATCTACCTGAATGTGCGGGCGCCTCTGCGCAAGTCCAGAAGCCCTGCTTCGTTTTTGCGTTACTTGTAGGGCTCCAACGTGCGCTGCTGCAACTTACGGAAACCCGTCTTACCTGAATGCAGCCTCGGCTCGGTTCGAGCGATCCCGAAGTGGAAGGGTGTCCAACACCGAAGCACCGTGCAACAGGTAGACGAACCTCGGCTGCGACGAACGGCACTTCTCTGCGGCATGCCCATAAGCTTGAGAACCCCAAAGCAACATGAAATCCACCTCTTGTTTCCTCGTGCTGTTGTGACGACTGCTTCGGCAAAAGTTGCTGAGTCGCAGCGCTGGGTTGTTGAGCTGCGGGATTTGCCACCCCGAACTCTTAAGGCTGGGGGGCCTTGGGGCCCTTGGGGCTTGCGGCCACAGCTGCCTCGCAAATAGACAAAATTGTCAGGGCAAAACATCTCGTTGCCTCAATTTTGCCGGCCAAGAGCTGTGGCGATGAGCAGCTCCCGTTCCAATCACTGCGAACATTGGCTGGCAGGAGCCAAACCCAGAGAGCAAGGTGCATCTGCCATGGGACACGAACGCAGAAATCGTTACTTCTCTGCCTTCCAGCCAAACTGGTCAGTGTCAAGATACCAAACCGTTGGCTACGACGAAAACGTATCCGACTTGAGCCAAACACATCGGCAGGATGGCTTTGTGAACAATCTCGGCTGCTTTGGGGCATTCCCACGCTGTTCGACGTCAGGAATAAGAAGTCTGGACCGTTGGGCTGCCAGTGCTTCTACAAACAACTCGACACTGGTAGCAGTTGGCAGGCTCGAGAACCGTTGCCTGCGCTGCTGTGCTGTGGGCAGCAGCGGCAGCATGGCAGTTTCTCAAGGCACCTCTGCTCAGCATCTTCATTGCCAGCACTCCTCGTATGCTTTCCCCAGGGGCCGTGCTTTCCAAACGGCCCAGCCCGCGATGGGCCAAGCAGAGGTGGAAAAAGCCTGGCCCGCGGGCCTGAAATTAACCGCAGTCAATAGTCTGAGACACATAGCCAAACCTTCATGTGGAAGCACAGGCAGATCAAGAGACTGAACATTCTTGTGAGCGTTGCCGCACGCCGCGGCGCCACGTCCTCTTGCAAGGATGCTGGGGTGAGCTGAGCCATCGGCTGAGTCCACAGCATTTTCCCATGGCTGGCCGGCCTTGCCAACTCCAGAATTCAGTCGCTTCGTAAACATCCATGGAAAGTGCATCAAAGCAGTCACCATGCCACTCTAGGTGGTGGCGCAGCCAACCTCCAGCACCGAAGCTGCATCTGTGTGTCGCCCGAGCCTGCACACGATGTTTGTGCCGCAGGCTTGTGAGAGATGCATAGTGCCGGACGACACACACGCACAAACACATACAAACACACACAAACACACACAAACACACATGGAACAGTAAGCAATGCACTGCAGCAGCAGGCCGCCATAATTAGCTTGAGCTTTCGCAAGCTCCGTCATTGCTGGCTGGCAGCCTTCCAGAACAAACTATGAGAGTCTGCCTTGTTGACGCCGGGCAGGCTCATTTCTAACTGTCCGCGACAGCAACAGCAGGCACCAGTGATTTTGTACACGGAAACTGTACGCATCAAAAGCGTGGTCGCCCTCCTTGGCATTTCTCCGCAGCGGCCTGGCGTTGTTCACCAGCCCGCTACAAGAGGACACTCAACAACTAGTTGCGGGATGCAGGTTGGGAAACACGCCTTTGCCGCGGCACATGCCTTCCGATACCTTGAATGACCCGGCCACTTCCTTCTAAGCCATCAACGAAGCAAACGCCGCATCTCAGGATCGCACATCGCTTCAGCCTCAGCCGTTTCTTTGGACCTGGAAGAACGAAGCGCACTGCTGCCCGCGTGACGGCTGCTTTCGGGTTGTCTTTGGCGTTCTACTTCGCTTGCTCCTCCGTTCCACTGCGAACAGCTGGCTGTGAGCCTATCGTGCATGCTTGGGCGCCAAGCTGATGGAGCAGCGCAGCCTAACACACGCCGAAAGAAATTTGTCAGCTGACAGTCTCACCCACAACAAAGTTGCTCGGACTCAGACGACATTCAAGAGGAGGCCGCCATGATCAGGACCTGTGAAGCTGCCACGAAGGAAACACACGGCTAAGCTGTTGTTGTTATCAATGAAGTCTGTGCGCACTGCGGATCTGCAAGGCATGGGAAAGCCTTAGTGCATGCGTCTCATGGTTTTCGATTTGATGTGCAGGTTTACAGAGATGTGGGGCAGCGATGCATCCATGCAGCATTGCTTTGGCTTCGCCAAGCTTGCCCCGTTTGAGCTGGAAAGTTCCAAAGTCCTCCAGCAACGCTGGAAGGGAATCAGAGATGATACGCAATCCGTCGGACCACCGCAGCTGGCCCATCCTTCAATGTATGGAACCTCAACGTTCAAAGCAAACACAAGTTCAATGTCGTGGCTCAAGCTTTGCCAGGCGGGGGGCTGACTGGGCTCTTCACGAAGGATCGCCTTATCCATGCGCCAGGCATCTGAATTATAGGCAGCCCCTTGCGGTACTCCAAGGCCTCGAAAAGGGTCGACGACCCGGATGCCCAGTGCAGCGCGACCTGCAACGCATGCATGTATGGAAGTGGAGATGAAACCAGGGGCTCTTGAAGGGGTAGCATTTGGCACATGAAGCATGTGTTATAGGAATTGACTCTTGGCGTAAGGCGGCAAAGCGTGCAACAGGTGCAACAGGGGTTTGCTTTCCCGGGTGCATTGTGCAGAGTGCGAGGTAGGTTCATCAAAAAGACCGCCAAAAAGACCACCCCTCAAGCGTAAACTCGAACGCAAGGGGATGCTGCTACTGCCAGACTCAGAATGTCTGCTGTGCGCACCTGCACCAACCCAGTCCTAAGCACTCAACCTCGTCCGCGCGCCATGCACACGAGAAGATGTAGGTCATGCTGAGGACCTTGGACCACAGCAAAGGTCAATGCATCACTGAGTGTCCAAACACAACCTCGCAGAGTTTCTCGGGCACAGCACACTACATACACTGCATTCCAATTGAGAGGCGTGCCCCGAGCACACCCCGCCGCTTCCACGAAGCTCCCTCTCTCAAGCAAGGTACACTCGGACTGTGTCAAGACCAAAACAAGTACCTCAACCAATCTGCGTCCAAAGTCAAAGAAAAAACTTTCGAAGTGCCTCAGCCAAGCTTTGGAGCAGGCCCGCCGTGCATGGCACAAAGACGCAGAGACTCGGCAAGTACACCTTGCAAACCACGAACATCAGGCTCTCTTCAGCATCGCTGCATGTATCTTCTAGTCTAAGCAAAAGGTCCAGCCCATAGTTTTTGCCACTAGCCAATTTTGCAGCCCAGGAACTCTGGCGCGCCAGAAAGAAGATGGCAAGAAATATGGTTGGCCAGAAAGCGACAACCACAAAACGCACAAGTAAACTGGAAAAAGAAATGATAGTCTGCAAAAAAAGGCTCAGTGTGCTGCGTATCTGTCGGCGGCCAATGCCCAGACCTCGGCAAAAAAAACATGGAGCTTGAGCCAACTCGAGTCGGCAATCCAGACTGCAACAACGAAGCGCACCCCGTCCAGCTTTTCGAATTGCTGCACAGCACCTGGGCTTTGTCAGGCAACTGTCGCAAGTAGCTGTCCAGGCCTTATGCCGCTGACAGCTCAAACCCGGCTGCTTCGCCAGGCTCCATAAATAAATCTTGCTTGACTGCCTGATCTTTATCAGGCCATTGTGGTTGACGGTTTTACGTCGAAAAGATCAAAACCGACCCAGACCTATGTTCTCTGTGATCGAAATTAAATTTTCAATTTGTTGGCATGCGCCACCCTACGCCCAGCTCTGTGTGACTGTGCCTTACTAGCAGTAACTAGCAAGTCTCGGGCTCGGGGCCAGCAAAACCCATGCACTTGTGTAGCTCGGCCTTGTTTGGGTCGGAGCATCCCAAACAGTCTTTGGAACACCAGCTGCGAAGGCAAGCAAACTTGCAGTGGTCGAAGCCAAACTGACCCGATTGCCCAAAGCAGGCTGCGCAGGCCGGTGTCAGCTTCGTCTGAGACCCCACGCAGTGCGCCATGCGGTTCTGGCTGAAGCCAGACCAAATGCTGAAAGCATAATGGCCACAATCTGCCACGATCTTTGGGAACGTGCCATCCTCGCTGCCACCACCCAGCTTCTTCATCGCTTCAGCATCTGCTGCGACACACTGCCCTGTGAAGTTCGACACGTCCAGGTAGGAGTACCTTCCTGCACTTCTCGCAGTTTTCCGCACCACTTTCCCAAGCTCCAGATTGCATGTCTCGTCGCCCGGTTCCTGCAACTCAGCTTGGCATTCTGACAGCACGTACAGAGGAAGAAGGAGACAAAGGCGTGCCACAAACATTCCTCAGCAAGGGGAGCTTGCAACGAGCATGCGGGAGATACCTGGGTTGGGGCAGCTACGCATACTGGGCTCATGGGTGTAGACGGCTTCACCCGCAAGGTTCGACATGGAAGAACTCATGACAACAGAGGCAAACATCGCGTAACAGCAAAAATGCAACAGTACGGTAGTTGCGAGCTCCTTCCTTCTTCGGAAGCTCATCTCTGAAAACCCTCTTTGCTGTCGCAACGGTCGCGCAACGCATCAAAAACCAAAACGCGCAACAATGTATCTACGACCCACTTCCTGCTACTACGAAACATTCTACAGAACTCTTTCCAACACATAACACCGGACCTTTGACTGCACCCAAGCTGCGTGGGCCTGTTGAGTGATCTAGCTCCGTTCGCATTTCCGAGTTCTATGCGTCATTCTGCAAACAACGTGAGCAATCGTCAACGAGACCCTGACTCCGTTTTCTCCCAGTAGCAGTTTCGGGCTGGGAGGCACTTGCTACTGGACGATTCTGCAGAAACATAAATGGGAATATAACTTTTCTGATAGAGAAATTCAATTTCCAGGTCCCGGCACCTGAAATGAAGGATGCACTATCTGCTCACAGTATACAAGCGGTCCCCTAAACGGGCTTCTCTATTTATGATGCTTATAATCATACCCTGGTGGTTGCATTTTCGTATGAGATAAGCCCTACAAAACTAAAACCTTTTGGGACGCAAAAATGCTTGCCTCTGCGCATGACTTCACAAACTACTCATAAACATGAAGCTACGTTGTCGATTTCTTCGCAAGAAAATGCACGTAACGAGATAAATCTCTGATGACTTGCAATTCCTAAACTCAACCCCACGGCTTGCCAAGGACTATCACATTGTGTGGATGTTGGTGTATTTTCGGAATGTCAAATATCCAAAGGTCCACAGGGCAATGTATTTTCGCAACATGCTTTCATGCCGTGTGTGTTTTGTGAACATCTCCCGCTGAAGAAACCCGAATATCATCAAACCCAAACTTGATAAACTCCCAAACCCGATTAAGTTACAAGAGCCTCCGGGAAAAGCTTGAACCTCCATTCCATAGCAAGAAGAGTTGAATTTCCGTTTATGTTGCACTAGAATCGCGCTGGGACGCCGTGTTCAGAGGCAAATGCCACAGGCAGACTCGGGCAGAGCATGCAATCTCTTCAAGAGATCAAACTGCCAGTCTCAGCCATCCCAGCCCGGAGTTCGTAGGAGATGTCTTCCTCAACGTTCTGGTTTGAGGAAAACTTGGCCTGGCCTGGCGCTTTGTAGGACGGCGTTGTCCCCACCAGGCTGTGCTTCTGCTGCGCTCCTGGTGCCCTTGGCCATTTCGGAATCCTGCGGTGGCAGTTCTGCGAGAGGCGGAGAAGCGGGAAGAAGTGGGTTTGGCACTGTGGCTGCTGGAGAACGAGAACTGCTTCGTTGGACCAAGGGTGGTCGGAAACTGTGTCCCCCAAAACGCGGTTACACGGGTGCTGGCACTCCCCGTGTGATTGCACGAGGTGCTCAAGGGGCACTCTCGGCCAGAATGGCAAGGTGCAAAGTGGGGCACTCTCAGCCAGAAGCGGGCAAGGTGCAGGAGAAAGACATTCTCAGCGGGAGTGAAGTGCACGAAGTGAGGGCACAAGGGAGGCACTACAGGGCGAAGGGGCGAGCAGAGCAAACTGGACAAGGGCAAGGAACTCAAGACAAACTTACTGCACAGGCAAATCTACGTAACACTGAATGCGCTGAACAGTGGGCCACAGAAGGATTGAAACTGATGCTTGCAGCAGTCGCGAACTATTTCTTCCAAAGTGTCCCATCATTGACACATCCTGCAAGAAAACTTCGGGAGACATTTGGGCACTTGCAATTCACCCAAAAAATCAGGTATGGCTGACGTGGCAGCTTCAGGTGCTGACAAGGAGCCGCCAAGCCAGTCTTGCTCCAAACAGCCAGCTACACTATGCCACTGCAAGCCCAAACAAGGCTGTACGGAAGGATTCTGAAGGCCTGACCCTCACTTCAACACATGACTACGGTGACTACAGCAGCCGGGCATTGTCAAACTGAGGAATCCTGCTGCATCAACCTGGGGCCTCCGGCGTGCGTTGAGACGACGCCCAATGTCCTCGGCAGGCTCGGCAGGCGCAAAAAAGCACGGGATTAAGTCATGGATTGAAATCCACACTGTGTGGACCGTGTGGAACGCACACGCGCACACACACACACACACACACAGAGACAGAGAGAATGCGCTCAACGCGCCCGCCAGCTAGCACTCAACAAACACTCCTTTGCAGCTGCTAACGCCCGGCCGATAGATTCTCCCATCAGACATACTAGGGAAGTGCACTGCGGCCGCCACCACTCAGAATCTGGTTGGGTGAATACTTGGATGGCATGAAAATGCATGAAACACTGCCAGCGACATCTGGGTCAGTTTGCGACATCTGTTGACAGCCTCCACCGGTTTTGGCGAAAGCTGGAGTGGCGGATGCCCTGTCGGCATACCGGCTGTCACACTCTAAAGCAGTCGAGCCACTTCGTAGCTTTGACTGCATGCACACGTGCCAGCTCTTCAAGCCAATCATGGTGCACAACCTACAGCAAACCGAATGGATGAACCGAATGGATGCTCGGCCTGAAGAGCTAGCGAAAGTATCCACAAGGGAATACCGTAGCCATCGTCACATCTGCGCAACCACTGAAGGAGCAACAGGACCGGAAGCATTGCAGAACGCCAAAAACTGCGTAATTACCCGATATCTGGCGTGGCTAAGACACAGGCACACACACGCTCCTTGACATAGGTTCTGTGTCCTATCTACTATCTACAATCACGATGCATTCCCTGCACTCTTGCTTCCTATGAAGTAAAACACCTCGCCCTCTCTCGAAATTATGGGGACCCTCTTTTCAGAGTGTTTTAGAGTTCGCAGTGCAGGGCAGGCCGCGTGTCCGGCAAAGACCGACGACTTCCTAAACGCTTGGCATAAAGGAAGTGACTGAGCCATCCTGTCCACATCTTCCTCGTCCCCCTGCCTTAGTGGATAAAGGGTTTGGAGTTCGGGGTGCTGCACCCTGGGTGAATTCGAAACTTGGCATCTGGTTGCTGGAGTTTGGTGTTGGGTGTGCCTGAGGAGATCCTGAGGAGTAAGATCAAGAACTGGAGCAAGATCCTAAACAATCTCAAGTATCACAAGCCATCTGCGATCTCTCATGTAGTGACAACGGCATGGCAACAAAAGCGCGTGAAGATAATTCGGGGACAGCATGGCGTTGAAGCCCAGCTTTGTTAGCCCAGATACATCGGATGCAGGGACACACTTCAAAAAGTAGCCCACTTGCTTCAGTGGGCCACCCGCAGCACCCCGTGATGGTGCACAAAGGCCTGCTCCGACCTGCACGAAGCGCATCTTTCAGAGCAAAAGCAGCCATTCCTGTACCGAAGCTGCACAGGATAGATGGACAGATAATATGTGTATATATATATATACATGTACACACACATAAGATATATATATATATATACAAACATGCCTGGCCTCGGGGCGCAATCGCTGAAAGCCTCTGGCAGGCTGCTGGCAGTGGAGTAGAACTCACCCGTCGGTGCGGTGGATGGCGGGGTCGGGCCATCCTGCGCAAGAAGAACGGCCGGCCCAAATCCATCATTTCGTTCTGGCACCTTCATGTCCACAGGGCCATGGGCCAAGTTCGGCCTCAAAGTTTCGCATCAACCAGAAGTATCCAGAAGTCTCGTAAGCAGAGAAAATGCAAGCTTGTGCCAAAAACCACGTTTAGGGCGCCCGGCCCACAAGGCTGGCGTGGCTGGCGCGGGGCAGAGCCCGGACGCTTCGCGCCTTCCGATGGCGGAGGCGCCATGCTGATCCCTGCACCTTCAGCGAATTTCAAGGTTCAAGCGGCATGCGGCATGCGGCATGGCCTGCGAGATTGCAGAATACATGGGCCACATGTCTTGCATGGATACTGCTAAATGCCAGCACGACACATGCATTTTTAGGAGCCAGAAGTTGACCCAGATCTCTTGCTGGGCGAATTAAATGCACAAGGTTGCAGCTGCAATGTGGGTAGTCCGGCCAAGTCAGTACTGTCAGCCGAATTGGTGAATGCTCTTAATGCAGGTCGGGTTCCAAGCGGAACGCGCACACCTCGCCGACGGCTTGAATTAGGCGACTATGCTTCCATTTCAGTCAGCTCCTTCAAGGGCGGATGTGGCAGTGCAGGTGTCAATGAGTTGCCGTCATGCGCACCGCCGCCCACAGCGAAACCAGCACTGAACTTCAAGTACTTTGGAAGCAAACAGCGGAACCCTCTGGTGCTGCAGCAAAGGTTTGGAGCCACTCGATGGTCGTAGGCTTGGGTCCCTGGGAAGAGCGAGCACTTCTTGTAGCAGATTCCGCCGAACATCTCCTCATCTGTTAGACAGGCACCTTCGAAGTTCGGGCACCCAAGCCCTTCATGATCTCCAGCCACATCAAATCCAGAGCAGAAGTTCAGGTGAATCTTGCTATTGCCAAACCCGCATGGCTCCGACTCACAACAGGAGAAAGGACTGGTTCGGATGGGAAAGTATCCAGCCGTGAGGTCACTGCACTTTTTGTAGCAGCTGCCCGCAGATGCAGGGAACTCCTCCTCGTCATCAGCACATTTGTTGCCATCGCTCAAAGACTCGCGTGGAGCCAACGGGCTGTGCAGAGGCAAGCCCGCAGCGTCTCCTGAATTTCCTGATGCGGCGCTTGTGGGCATCGGGCTTGTCAGGGCTGGAGGCTTGCTCGGCTTGCTCGCCGGGTGCATCATGCTCCCGAACATGTGGGCGATGCTCTTCAAGGACTTGTGCTCCATGCTCGCCGGATCGAGCTTTTCTGCTTCTTCCATAAACTCCTTGGCGACACCCCCAAAGGTATGGGTGTGGATGGCCGTTGTGCTTCCTTGCACATCCTGTGCAACTCCAGGCTTGACAGATGAGGAAGGTGGTGCAGAGTCTGCATGGACTTTCGGAGATGCCTCGGCAGATGCTTGCGCCAGAGTTGTGGACACAGCGTCGTGGCCACGTGCCAAGGCATTCTCATAACGCGTGTACGCGTCGTGCCCGAGAACCTTCTTCCAGACTGAGCCATCCTGCAGCTCCACTGCCTGCCCCGTGCCGGCTTGGAGAGCTGTCACTGCGTGCTTTCCAAAGGTCACACATGCAACAGCCATCACAAGGACGACGGCAAGAGGGACAAGTGTCCGGTGCCATCTGTAGCGCCTTTCTGGCTCAAACCCTTCCGGGAAGCGCTCATGCGTTGCCACATTCTCCAGATCTGCCTGGGCTTCCAGGGATCCCACCTGCGCGTACATGAGGAAGCTCGGGACTCAGAAGCTGTGAAAAGCTGTGAAACGCAACCTACACCTGCAATCTTTGAGCAACCCTACACAGGCAACGGAAAACAACAGCTACTCGTGGCCAATCTGGTGACGAAGGTTGCACTGGCTGAGGCATCTGGGGCTTGCACTGTCACACTGGCCCAGGAGCGCAACCCTTATGGCGGTTTTGACCATTTGACACATCATCGAGCTGACAAGAGCTGAGTCCGTGAGCTTCGGTGATTCGGTGAAGAGCTGAGGTCAAGGCTGATCGACTCCCTCCCCGAAGCCATCCTTTAGAAGCAGTTCCAAGGGAGCTGGCGCATGGGCATCCTTCCGTGTCAACAAGACTGATGTCACTGGAAGGTGCAGGGCTCCAGGCTTCTGGCACACAATGAAAACCCTCATTTGATCTCATCTGCCTGGTCGTTGATGCCAGGGGACGTCTGGGCAAACACCTCACAGGCTGTGCTTGCATCTTGTCACGAGTTTTGGCCGAGGACATCTTGCACGGGAATGTCTTGAGGGCCTGGATGTTGCTTCCTGGCGTTGTCTGAAGCTTCGGCAATGTGACTATGCCAGTTGGGACGGTCGCATCCTCCCGTCAGCAAGATACGATTGGGAAGAATGCGGCTATGAAACAAAAAGACAGTGCAAACGCTACCTACTCTCCTGACTGGAGCAAGCCTTTTCGCCGACAGGGCTTTGGGGCCTCAAGGGCCACAAGCCATGAGAGGGACTCACTGGCACGCCACTTCAGCAGGAACCGATTGCGCACCATGAGAAGTCTTGAGAAGTATGGTTGAAATGCATGGTTGAGTGTCGCACGCTACATCACTGCTCAGATGCTGCGGCCGTCTTGACCGAGCAAGTCGAGAGGGGTTGCCTCGTGATCACATGCATTCAGCGACGATCATGAATTTCGGTACCAGACAATCGGCACCCTGATGAAATCGGCCAGGGCAACTTTTGGCCAACTGCGCTGCAACCATATGGCGCCGCTTCTCCAAAGGATTGAGGGGTCCTGCTCACGGCTCACGCATAGTAACTCCAGGCCGCAACGTGTGCATCGCACAGTCGACATGGCATGCCTCTAACAAACGGGTCTACCCGGCAACCATCCGCCTGAAGCTGGTGGCAAAGGAGGCGGTACAGGCACCAAGGCTCTCTTCGGAGCTTCGGCGAAGTACCCATTGGCACTGCCTGATGGCCTGGGCAACGGCCACCGTTCACACTTCCACCATCTTTCACCTGTATCATATCGGATGCCATATCGTACATCAGTCTTATTATATTCTTGTATTCCTGCAAAGCCAGGAGAGCTGCTTTCTGATAGGACGAACCAGCAGCTGTCCTGCAGAAAGGACGCAACGCAAAGGTACCCTAGCTCCTCACTGCATTTCAAATTCTGAGCCTGCACGTTTCTGCGCACTTCTAGCCAAGCTGTTGCGAATTGCTCGCTGCCTGGGTGGCGAATTGACAGCAAGTCACACTTCCGAACTTTCTCAGATATGGAGGCGCCGCAGTATGCTGCTATCTGTTACGCTCCTTGTGTTGGGCTCTCCATTTGCTCGCCACACGTAACTGCCAGAGCACACGATGCAGGCCGCAGAGCGCTGCCGCAGTGCAGAAAGCTGCCCCGAAAGTTCCTCAACCAACGCCTCCGGCGGACTCACGGCGGGACTTTGAGTAGCTTTGAGGGGTTTTTGTGGCTTGGTCATACTTCACAAGCTTCCCCAGAATTTAACCGATTGACGAACTCGCAAGGAGCCCTTCAGAAACTGAATCTCCAAGCTCGGCACGTTGAAAGGAACCCATGGCTTCGCTGGCTGCTCGAGGAGACTGGCGAGCACGCGCTGAGCGTTCTGCAACGTCAGCTCATACCTCCACACTCCGTCCACACGTCTCAGGCTAGGGAGAAACAAAACACACAGCCTAGCCCCAGTCACAAATGAAAGGTTTCAGAGGCGAGAGCTGGCGGAGGCACACGTTGTGGCCACAATGTCTGACTCACTGCTCTGCTAAAGTGGGCTGCAGTTCCCTGAGTTGCATCCAAGCTGCTGCTTCAACGGCAGCCGAGAACTCTGCATGGCGCTGGAGGTGGGATTGCTGGAGCCAAAACATTCCAGAAGATAGCCTTTGCAGTGAGCAGACTGGATCCACAAAACATAAGGCGAGCCACCCGCCCACGCTGCATGGGCGCATGGAACGGTGTCACGACAGCATATGACCGGCTGGCACGCCGTCGTCAGTCACACGATTGGGCTTGAACACCCTTCGATGCTGCCACATCTATTGCGCAGCGTGCAAAGCCGAATTCTTGGGCACCTGCGGCAGCAGTAGTGACAAGTACGTCACCCACGCCTGATGAAAGGCGGACAAGCTTCGGAAGAGCGGAGAGAACCTGTTCATTCTGAGCGATGCTACCATCCAGAGTGGCCGGTAGATCCAGCTGTAGGCCTGGGAAGGGCGGAGCGTGAAGAGTCGCAACGTGGTGCTCGCCTGCGCACTTCTTGCCACGTGGCTTAGGCACCCTGGCACTCGGGGTTGCGGAGTAGGCGAAGAAGGCAAGGGCTGACGTTGTCACCGTTGCCGATGCCAATGCCGCCGCGAAGTGGGCATCGGTCTTAGAAAAAGCCCAAGGCCCAAGAGAAACAATGAGAAACACACCGTCGCCAGAGTTCCATGCTTGGGGACCAGGCAAAGTCAAGCTTGTCGGGCAAGGCATAGCGTGGCCTACGGAGTCTGCGGCCTAACCAAACCCCGAAGCACCACAAGATTTGAAAGATCCCGGCGCCCTTCCTATCTTGCACCTGTTTTCGGAGCATCATCAGTTCCCATCTTTGGAGCTAATGCCCACCACTTTCGAGATTCGCGGGTGGGGCAGGTTACTACCCCACAGAACCTTGAAAATGAACGCACCATTGACAGGAGCCAGGCCGGCACCATGCTACAGTCGACCCGGTGATCGCAAAGGCTAGACCAGAAACCACAGAGCAGACAGGGGTCACATCACCCGTTTCACATGATCAACTCCACAGTGCTGAAACCTTTTGGTCATCCACTTTCTAATGAGCCGGGCGCTTCTCTCTTCGAGCCCTCCAGATACGAAATTGCAATTGCATCCCAAGTCTCGACGGAGCCCCCTAATCCCGCAGGTGGACATAAGCACCGGGCGTAGTCCATGTCCAGGGAGGGACCTGAAACGACAACCCTCCCTGAGCACCCGACTGCCATGACTTCAAGCCCGAGCTGCAGGCAAAAGTTTGCCAAATGTAAAAGAAAGGTGCATAGCAGGCCCGCATCCTTGCCGAACATGCGCGTCTCAACCAGAAAGGAAAGTGACAGCTGAGTGGCACCTGATTTAGCCAGAGAGTGCTCTGGGGTCCTTGCAATGTCTCAAACCAATCCAGCACACGGGCCTCAGCGTGGGAGTCCAAAAACCCAACGTTCGCGAACTCAAGGAGATGTGATGCTGCACCTTTGCTTCTAGCGTCCGCAGGCGCTCCACCTGCAGCCACCACGGCCATGACTGCCTCAAGGGCTCGAAGGGGCAGGGCGTGGGCAAGCGCATGTTTGGCGACACGTGAGTGGCCAACCAACTTAGGTGGCCACACTGCTGATTGCAGGAGGCACATAAGGAAAAAGGTGAACCGCCCCTCGGGATCTGCAGCCGGCAGCTTAAAAGAACGAGAAAGCCGTAATTGAGACTCTTACACCCTGAACTGTAAGTACGTGACTGGCAGCCGTCTTGACCTGGCAATCTCCCCAAGTCTCTGCGTCGATTTGATCCATGTAAGCATGCGAGCACAAGCGGCCGAAACGCCACGCGAAAACCGCACTTGTATTTACTTGTCGCACTCCAGCCCAGACGAGTTGAGAGCTTGAGGCTTCGGCCGTCGGGGCATCAGACAGAAGCTCCCAAGCCTTGCATATCTTACATGCAAGGCGCATGTCAAGGACAGTCAGCAGCCTGGGCACCCGACAAAGAGAGCAAACGGAAAGGTGACAGCCGATGCTTTGGAGAAAACCGCTAGGCCTCAGTGGCTCGGTGCCAGGTGAGGGCGTTGGGTGACTAGGACACGGCAACTCCATCATGCACAGCGTTGCTAGCATTGCTGCAACAAAGTGGGTATCAGTCAGCACCACGCTAAACAGCGGCGCCCCGCTATAGCGCAGCCCGCGGATGTACAAGCCTTCTGCGTGCACAGCAAAGATCGCGAAGACGACACTCTGCGGGGTCTGAAGACTTTGCGTTCTCTGGGCTGCAAGCGCTGGCAAAGAAGGCCTCACTGCTTCAAAGTATGTCAGCATGAGGCAAGGAATCAAGTTGTCACTTTGGCACTGGGCTCTAGGATTCATGCAGAACACCGATGCCAGGAGATAGCCGTGACAAGACGACCAACAAACCTAAAATACAGGAGCTTGTCTTGAGGGATCTAGTTTCAGTTTGCATTGAGGATTCGTCATCATGCCTCCAACATGCCGGGCGCGGTAACCGGTAGCCTGTGCATGACACCTGAGAAACTCACCACCTCGGCGCGCAAGGGATGTGCGCCAACCAGGGCCTGCACACCACACATCACACCTTCATCACACCTTGATCGACACTTGCTGACAACTGCAAGCCGCGCCGCTGCAGCAGCTGACCACAGCCATGTGGCACTAGCTGGCTTCAACCGACGCAGCACCTGCTTCCAAATGGAGAAAGGAAGCACAGGCTGTGCCCCATGTGAATGCAGCAGCCAACCATGGTGTACACTGCAAAGGCTAGGACCAGCTCCGCATTTGCAGATGCTAGCGCGGCAACCAGACCATGCAGAAACCTCAATGCAATCAAATTCAACCTACCTTTCAGCTGTCGTACCTCACTGCATTCGACTCACTACTACGTCTGCAAGACAACGTAGGTCTGAGGCAGACCTGAAATTGCAAACCTCGGAGATGCGGAATGAATAAGAGCTGGCTACTTCACTTCTCTATTGAGATACTTTCCAAAGTTTCCAGCGCCAAGTACACTCGTTCTAGGCGCGGCGCGCTCTGGCAGACGTGCCGACAAGTCTGGCAAGGAAAGCTCGAAACCTAGGTCAGGCATCTGCAGATCAATACATCACCACACTCCCGCAACTGACCTCCCTTCTCAACAACTCAAATTCTTCATTCCAAACAATGGCAATGCAGCAGGGTCTGCTTAGGGCCCCAGCAAGAAAGTCACCGGCTCGTATACCTTCTCATGAGTCCAAATATAGATCTTCACACCAACATATACTCTGGTGGAGCAAAGCCACTTCTACGTTGTGTGCAAACAGTCAACACACGCGCCTAACTGTGCCTAACTGCTGCCTGCTTGTGATGAATGTGCCTAGATTCTGCCCAAGATCTAGCAACATGATGGCAGGCAGTGGCGGGCGGAGGCATGTGTCCGCATCAATCTCGGAACCATAAGGGAAATCAAGAAATGACAAAACTGAGCTTCTGACCCCAAGACCTCAGCCAGCGTGTCAAGCAAAAACAATGCTGTAGAATGAAGGGTGCCGAGTGCCGACTTGAACTCACAGGATCCGAAAATCCGTCGGTGTCTTGGTGGTGTCTCAACAACCTGCCTCCTAGTGTTTGCAAGCTTATGTCCAGGCTCGAGCTTCTTTCTCTTGCCGCCAGATGGTGTTTTTTAGTACCTTACATACAAATGTTAAAGGAATTTTCCTGTTCCCGGGAAGATCTGCAGTGTGGGTCATCGTTGTCAGCAAATGTTGTACGTGCATCAAAACCTGCGTTAAGCCCGCGAAGCAGCTTGTTGGGGCCGACACCTTTGACTGCTTTCGACATTTAGAGTTGGTCGACGCTCAGCTGTTGTTGACTAGCAACTTGCGTTGTCGTGAAAAAATCTACAAACGAAAGGACATCTTCGTTTGGAAGAGCAGAACTAGTCTCTTCTGAGACAATCAGCTCCAGCCACTCCATGGTGGTATTGCCAGCATACAGCATACAAAAGGGAGCTGCTATGCTGCCTGCAGTGCTTGTATTCGTATTGATCCAGAGCAACTGATGGGCAACATCCATCAGCACAATTTGTGAAAATGCATATCATTTAACTGCATATGCAACAGCACGACAATGCCAGTGTCGCGACTGCGCAGCGGCCTACCGATCAATTCAAGCACGGCAAAGCAACCCCCAAGACCGACGCTGCCACAAGTCTGCTCATGAGCATACAGAAGACTTACCGAAACTTTTCCAGGACTCGACGCTTTGGAACCTCTTTCCCAATTGCGGAACTGCGAAATGTTTCGATGCGCATGGGTTTCGTGACTGTTCGACTTTGCTTGTTCGCTTGGCTTCAACATTTCCATCTTCCTGATGTTTTGTCTGCTGCTAAGTTTATCTCGATTTGTTGTTCAGTGCTCCGCCCACCTCCGCGACCCAAACCTGCGAGCAAAAACCCTCGCAGGTAATCACCTGTCAGTCGCTTCCAATACCCTGGCCTCCCTGCCTAATCCCTGTCTCTTCCCTTCTAACGAATGACGAACCTTCTCTCATCTGTTCTAATCCCTCCAACCTGTCCTTCCTGAATCCCTTGTAAGCTGGACTAGTCCACATTCATCAGCTTTTCAGACATCACTTTGTTGCGACACGATTATGAAGTCGACCTGGCTCCCGTCTTCAACTCCCAAAGCCGGACCGCCGACAGCAGACGAATCGAACCCAGAAGCACATCTCTCCAGCAAAAGGTATCCCAAAAGTATAGTGACGTGCCGGGACGTACGACTGTTAAAAACTTGCTTGCTTGGCTACTCCATGCAAGAAGAAGATGAAGTGACGTGCTAGACACTGGGTGTGCTAGAATTGCTTCCGTTTCACACCTTGCGTCGCTTTACGACTCTGCGGGCTTGTGTGAGAACCGGGCGACTGAAGAACTCATTTTCTGCAATCGAGCTTGCAAGCGCCGTTGAGCGCATGCGTGCGCTTCCCACATGAAAAGTAGGAACTTGAAAACAACAAGATTGGCAGAAGATTCTAACATCTCCAGCGTAAGGGTTGCTGGTGACGACGTTCTGCCATCCTGTCTAGACCCTAGACTTAGGGACGTCAGATTGACGTGGAAAATGCTCTGGCTGCACCTCCAGGCTGCGAGACTTCTGTTCGGCAAAGCTGACAAGACATTGGTTGGTCACATTCTAACTCATATTCCGCATCAAAGATTTTGGCACATCTGAAGAAGGTCGCAAACCACCAGCCCACCTGACCGCTGCAATAACGATCTCTGTCGTTATCCACGCGGTGAGCTCTGGGCGCAGCTAAAGCGCACCTATGCCTGTGAAGACTTTCCATCCATTCTCCGAGAACTGTTCTCCGTCCGCAGAGTCCATTGGAAACCGGGATGTTGGTGAAACTCCGTGCTCAACTCGTGCCTCCACTGCTTTTCAGGAGTGCGCCCCCCAGTCCAGCTTCGATAACTCTTCTCCTCAGTGCTTTAATCGCTCACAGCTCGGACCACAGCAAAGTGCGAACTCCAAAGGCCCCTTGGAATAGGCTTACAAAGACTACTCATACAGCATGGCCCTTTGAAGTTCCAGACTGCAAACAGGAGACATGATTGTGAGGAAATCCAGGAAATCCATGCAAGTCTCCTCTGCCGGCGTGCGTGCCTGACACAAAAGAAGCACCAACACTGGCGCATTGCCATCCAGCAGCCGAGCTGTAATGGATGCCGGGCTGCTCCGTCAATGGGAAGTGTCGGTGATTGACTAAGTTGAGAGGGTCCATTCTCAGCGAAACTGCTTGAACTGCACGATGTCGGTGCAACGCCTCGGGGACGCACATTCTGTGCACCAACTTGTCAAGTCCACGATGATGGACATGTGAAAATGCAGACCCGATGTGCGCGACACATGAGAACCACCGGCTGCTTAGGCAAGAACTGCTGCTGCTCGGCAAGGGAATGGGCTTTGCACTCAGCGCGATGCACTCATGCAGCTGATGGCACCTACTCAGCACAAGTTGGTTTCTCGCTTGGTGCACAATCCGATCCCTTCTTGACTTGAAGTACTCTTCTAGATTAGCAACTGGCCAGATGCTTTGCGAGGCACTCACTGTCTGACATCTCGAAGCAGTGGATGAACAAGGTGGCCAAGGCCTGGGCCAATTTCCAACTCTCTAATAACATTCTGTCGCGGACCAGCCCGACAAAGCCCAACTTTCCCTGGCTCGCTCGCTTTTGGAAGCAAAGGCTCATCCTTTGACAGTATTCGCCGGGCTTCCGCTGAAGCTGACCTCGTCTCAAGGCTTATACAAATGGGTGTTGGCAACAGAATCGGCTGAGCCTGCTAAAAGGCAGTCCTAATCTGCCAAGCGGCAGAAAGACTGACAGAAACTCGGAGGCTTCGCGAAAGCTGAACTCAAGATGCCGGATGGTCTGGGCATAAACCGCACCTTGCGATCACCCTAGTGTTCGATGTGAGAAGCATCATCAAGCAGACACGAAGCTGGCAGGGTTACAGATTTACAGCACAGCGGCCCCTTGCAACTAGGGTAGCTGTGGGCGAGATGCACTGGAGTCTCTCCGCTTCCTCTCGGATGGCGCAGATCAGCGGCAGGAACTCAAGGAACTTGACCCCCTGGGACCTCTCGTTCAGAAGCCGGACCTCAAGCAAACGACCGACACCAGCTCGCAAGAATAACAAAGCAGACGCAGTCACATGAGTGAAGCTGAGTATCCGCTCTTTTCTGCGATTGCACACGTGTCGAGGGTCCCAGCATAATACGACGAGTATCTACTTGATTCTACAACTTGGGGCACCCTCAGAACATCCGTACTGCATATTGAATATTGACGGTTCGGTCTGTTCTCACAGTCCTTTCAGTAAACCTTTCAGCAATCTTGGCACGGGCGGTTGCCAGTGGTCGAAGACTGACACGGATGCTCCCTTGTCCATCATTCCGGCCGAGTTTGAAGTGAAAACAAACATTTCGTTTGCCGACTTGGGGATCGGAACACCTTTCTTGTCATCTGCCTGAGCATGCAGGTGGTGCACATAGCTACCGAGAGGTAAAGCGACAATGAAGTCCATGACAGTGCCATTGGAAGCCCAGAAAACGTTGTAGTGCGTTACATCAGATTCATCTTGGGCTGGTCCAATCTGAATATCACCCATCACGAAACCGCGCGTCGGGTCGTAGTCGGTGAATGCAATCCACTCTGCTCTGTGCTCTGGAATCCTGCCAAAGCCATGCCAGCCTGTGCCCATGCCACCCAAGGAACTCGTGAGCTCATCAACAGAAAGCAGCGGGTTGGTCTGTGTCGATTGCTGACGGGCCCAAGCGAGATCTTCAGTTGGCACCTGCACATACCTCTGCTGGAATGGGGTCTGGGAAGTTTTGTTCGCCACCTTTGGCTTCAACTGAGTCTGCAGCTCCGCCCGCTGTAGAGTAAGCCCCACCTGCAATAAGCGAAGTTCTGTACCAGTGAAGACTTCATCTGCTTGGAAGCCCTGTAGGATTTCTGGCATAGTCAAGTCGGCAGAAGTTGTGCATCTGTCCAGGGGGCGTCCTGCAGTGAAACACGCCAAACACAGCCACAGCTTCAAGTGGAACCGCTGGGCCGAATTCATGGAATTTTATGTAGCTGACAGAAGCCGCGCTGTCACGCTACAAATATGGACATGGTTGGGTTACCGAAGAGGCCCTAAAGGGGAGCTTGAGCCGGAATTGGAACAGACGCAATGCAGGAGTAGCTCGGAACCCGATGCCTTCAAGAAAAGAAAGCCAACTTTACAGCTTACAAACTTACAACTCTCAAACTTGCATGCCCAGCATGTCGTCTTCGCTGCAAAGAAGGACCTCGCCATACCTGGCCTACACGGCTCCGAACTGTAGCTTGGCATGTGTGGTGCTGGATCACTTCTGTAAGCCAGGGGCCAGAATCGAACGAAACTGCGGCGAGCGCGCGTGCGCTGGGAAGATCTGCTCGACCAGGTTCTCCAGCTCCTGCCTTAACACGGGCATTCAATTCTCAACAGGGCATTGCTGGACGCTGCGGTTAAACAGAATACTACAAAGCAGGCAGGCCTGTTGACTTTGCCTGAGCCATCGGCAGCAACCCGGTTGAACTCCAGCCTGTCAAACACATCTTCCACATGCAGTTCAAGTAAAATACAGCAACCATTCCTGCAATGTGTTTGTATAGTTCTGGTACATGATGTAGTGTTTTGGATTCATGTTCAATGTTTCATTAAAAGCGTACCATTGAGACGTTCGTAACATGGAGTTACGCCACGCCATATCGCACATGACTATGTCCGACAATATTCCCCACCCAACAAATGGGGTTGTGAGATTTCAAGGACAAAGCAGCAGGCGTCAGGTGACGCGACGGCTCAAGACAGCAGGCAGAACCAGCACAACATTCAGAACCGAAGCCGCGCAACTGTACCGGAATGTGACCTGAACAGGCCAGGGAGGCTCAGGCGGGCAACGGTACAGGAAGCCAAGGAGACTCACGCGAGCAACTGTACCGAAATGTTGCCAAAATCAGAAGGCCGGGGTCTGCACTGGAATGTTGAGTGCAACAAGAAAATCAGAGAGGCTCAGGCTATTGCTTGCACTCAGCAGGCAGCACCTTGATTGATGTCGCATGCAGTAGCCAGCTGCGCCTACTGCCTGTAGGCAGCATCAACGCTATGGAGTTTGCACGTTGCTAGGCTTCACTGCGTGTCTCAGATTTTCAGACCTATACTGTCCACCCGACACGAAGGGCTGTTAGGACAAAGTGGCCACGTACGCCCGCAGCACGCGACGCGACGTGCTTAGGAAAGTACGGCATACAATACAGTGCCCAGGACCACAGGCAGACATCAGAACAACTGTACTGTAATGTGGCCTCCAGACAGGGCAGGCTTGAAGCTTATACGGGTCACCTGGTAAAGGTTTCCCTGGTAAATGTTTCACAGCTGGCGAGCCCCGCTTACAAGGCCCGCTGACAGACTTGCAACGGGCTGCACAAACCCTTCACTGTTAGCGGGCCCCACTCGGCCAGGCACTCGTGCAACTTTGAGTCATAGATCATGTGGGCTTTGAATCTCGAAGCTAACAATTTCGATTGCGGGAGCGCTCTATTTTTGCTTTTTTTTTGGGGGGGAGGGACTGCAGCGCTGTTTGCCCGGAGCACGGAACTTCAGCTGCAACCTCCTAAAGCTTGAGCTCTTCATGTAACCCGTTGAAGTATGTTGTTCTGTGTGGAGCAAAGAGGGAAAGGCCACCAAAGCTTCAAGCACCAAACGGAGCGTTGTGCCTCATCTGCTTCCTCCGTGCCGCCCTAAACCCTGACGAACCCTGACTATCCCTGCGCTCTACATCAGACCAAAAACTACTTGAACCAGCATGGACAATTCCCAACACTGCAGCTTTTGTGGGGATGTGCGGAGCATGAATTACATATGTGTTCAATGTCACGGCATGTGGTTGTGTAGCAAAACCTTGGCAGAACCGACCTCAAGGTTCCAAGCTCCACCGGTGAGAAGAGGTAGTTGGCGCGCAAGAAGGGCAGCCTCTCTTTCTGAAGGCGAGCCACCAACAGCCTGGGTTTGGCCGCATGCAGCCTGCAAACTTTTGCAGCTTGCGCATAAACTTCACCAGAGATGACTATGCCTGATGCGGACACATGCGCAGCCAAAAGATCACTCAAGGCACAAGAAGTCGTTCAGGTCCATGCCAGTTTCCTTTGAGCTGAGCAAAGGCACAAGACTGTCCTCCCTCCCAGCGAGGCACACCACGCAGTGTCTAACACAGCAGGCAAGAAGCCCTCGACTGCGGCAGCTTGCCATCCAAGCCCAGCTGCTGAAGAGCACCACGTGCTGCCTGGTCGTCCAGCAGCCCTGTCTTCCTGCAGTTGCAACTTGATGGAGAGACAGCATCGCGCATTCGCTACATCGCACAGTGGCTTAAGTTTCATGTTTTACGAAATGGCAGCTACAAGTATGGCATGTGTGCATAGGTGATGTCTGAAAGGGCGTTTGACGGTCTCTGCGAGGTCCTGGCATCCGCAGCATGGAAGGCAGCCACAGCTGCTCGCCGTTCAAAGTCACGGCAGTTCAGCACAAGCCTCACAAACCTAGGATTCAACACGGCTGCCTCACCACTTCGAACCTCCCCTGCCAGAAGAAACTCAAGTGTCTACAACGCCTCCATGTTCCAAGTGTTCTCTTCTTGCGGCAATGTTTTCTTATCTGCCCCTATCTGCCCATGGCCACCAACCAGCTCATGGCTGCAGATGGGACTCGGACCCCATGCTGCAACATCGTGCTAAGTGAGGTCTTCCGTGCTTCCCGCAACTCACTCGATCAGTGCTGGGGAGCGCTGTGAAGTCCAGCAGTTGGGTGCCTCCAGGATCCACCTGGCAACTCCAGCAACACAAGTCCCGATTCAACCCAAATGCGCTGCATATGCACACCTGCAAAAATAAGAGGCTATACTGCACAAGCACCGCCGTCCAGCTCTAGAGATTGATAACATTTCCCCGACGTCCATATCCAACCTCGTAGATCAACTGCTGCAGCCGCTCGAAGGTATGACAATGACCGAGCCAACGGAGTGCCTGCCAGGCAACGCATGAGCTACCCGCTGCAGCGGGCGCGGAATGCCTTGGCGAAGAAGTATTCTCACCCCTAAAACCAGGTCTCGAGCTTCTTGCCTGGTGCAGCCCACTACCCGTGGAAATCCTCAGGTGCCCTCCTAGCCCTCCCATGTTGGCCTTCACGAGGAAAGCCACAGTGTGAGCATTGTCCAAATGGCAAGAGCTGGTGAAGTCAAGTGTCCTGTTTTCCTGCTTCGGCTCAACCTGCCAGAAGGCTTCGTGCAGTTCATCCAGCTGCGCACCTCTCAAGTTTCAGGACCCACTCAGTCTCATTGGAAACAGCATGTCACCAAAGCCGTTCAGCAGCCAGGTTCTGTGGCGTTTCTTTATTCGCCAACCTTCCTCGGTGTGCACGCATTCTGGAAGCTGTTCGTCGGCATCCAGGCACATGCCTCCACAATCCTTGCAGCAGGTGGAACCGTGTTGTCAACTTGGGCCAGGAAAGGTTCCCAACTACACTTGCGCTTCCCACCTTGAGGCACATTCTGAGGGATAAGTTTCGCATGTTGATTGAAACACTCGCTGGTTTCGGCTGCCGAGAGGCCGGTCTCAATTCCGGCTTCGTCTCGAAACCGCTGAACCTCTGAGCCGTCCAGTCCAGCTTCCGCAACACTCTGCAACATATGCTTCTGCCAACACTCGAAGCAATCGATGCTGTGTTGTTGTGGCACGTTTCGGTTCTGGTGCTGCAGTCCGAGAAGCTCTCGCGATCCACTGCCCAGCAGACCTGCAAAGCCCGTCTCGCCCCAAGTGCCCCCACGGCACGCTTGCCCAGGCTGGCACCAAGAGCCTGGGCTGTCAACTCGTACGATGCCAAACCTCTCACGATCACGTTGCGTGGAATCTGGGAGAGCAGCCGGCCGAGCAGGACTTGGATGGCCGGCGGGCTGACAGCCTGGGCGATACGTTTTTTTCCAGCTACTTGGCGCGCGGCATGCTGCCAGAATTTGCCAGCCACCAACTGTTAGGACTCGACGGTGAAGGACTCCAGGCAGCGCGGCATTCAAGCCTCCCCAGGGTTTGCAGCTAGAGCTTTCTCCTGGAGGCATCACTTCTTTATACTTCGAGCAAAGGACGGAGAGACATCTCTTTACCCCTGCGGCACTACGAACTGTTCAGGACTGCCTGAAACTCAGCTGCGGCTTGGGCGAACTTGGCGGCGGCAGACTCAAGTGGAAAGTGCTGCTGACAGAGCCATCACGTTCCAAAGCCGGCTTTGGTGCCGAAGGTGTCTTGAAGGAGAACGCCAACACCTCGACCGGCTTACACTTGCACGGTTTTTGCTTCCTGCACCCACTTGCACAGCGCAGGAGACACCTCAAACTGTCAAGCCAAGCAGCGGGTCTCCCTGACGGCCTCCGCCGCCGAGGAGCCTGGCGCAGACCATCCGGACTTCCTGCAAGGTCGAAGATTCCATCCGAAGAAAAACGAATCACAGCCCGGCTTCGACTCCGCACAGTCAGTGAGAGAAAAAAACGCAGTTTGATGCCGTCTGAGGCCCAACTGAAAACTTCTCCCGCAGGCAAATCGTAGAGAAGCCCCCAAACTGGAACCAACCATTTCAGTCAACGTCACGCTCTCTGCTCTGAAGCCCTGCAGAGTCAGCTTGTCGATGACTCGCGTCGCCATCCTGCTCCTGCACGCTGCAAACTAGTCATAGCAGATGAACTATGGGAAGCTGACATGCCCACATATGGCCCCCACCTTCTTGCTTTCTTTGGCAGTGTCTGGAAGGCACTCATCCTTGTCCAGTTGCTTCAACCTGTTCGAGTCGGGCACCCTTTTTACAAACAAAAGCTAACTGGTCGAAACTTCCAAGTCTTGGAAAAGCCATCCCAACCTTCGAGCTCTTGTACGAAGGCTGCCGATACGGTCATGGATTTTGGCTTGCGCAAAGACACGGGCCTGCCCACCGAAAGAGAAGGCATGTACTTTCAAAGTTGCGTATGGCTAAAAGAAAGCATCAGGCCTCCTCAACAGCTTCCATTCAGCAAAGGCAAGCCCCAGGAGATTTTCAGGCATGGCGCATTCGCGCGCAAGTCCTGGAATCTCCTAGAAGCCAACGGGTGAGCAACACGGCTAGAGGTCCGTGCGATGGCCACGAACAATCGCACATGCTGTACTTATGCTCTTGCATCTCAATTTTGGATGGCGGTGCCTGGTTCCCCTATCTACACATCGCAGCCTATCACGCAGCCTCTGTGAGCTTGCGTGAAGCATGTGAATACCTGCAACCATTGTGTGGCAAGCGCCTGCTGGCTAAGGGCCGGGCTCACCGCGGCGTCTGCAGGCCAGCTGGCTGTCCACACTACCGACGGCAAGGCCTGATCCTCGCAGCACATGCAGAATCAGGCTAAGGGTGCCACGTCAAGCAATCTGATTTGATAACACAGCAGCTTGGATACTTTCCCGGCGAATCTCACCTGGATTTCTCTGATACGCTTCACCATCACCTGCGAGAAAACATTGAACCGGCGCAGAAACGATGGCCGAAACTGGCTTGCGCGAAGCACCTCGTCATCCATTCCCGACCTTGGCAACCATCACAGCTGAGATTTAGGCACTGCGAAGAATGCGGGCCTGTCATGCAGTAAACCTGCGCAGCTCCACAGCCGAAGATCACAACCTCACAACCTCCACGTGCAGCTGGCGTGCAGGAACTCGGGTGCAGCAGCCCGCGCCACCGCGGAAAGACTGATCGCACTCCAAGCCCCGACCAACACGTGAACAAGGGCTGCACATCGCGGAGCCTGCGAGAAAGCGACAGTACAGGGTTTTGGGGCTCCCCACACAACACCTTTTTGCCGTTGCCATGCTCTTCTCCCCGCCTCACTCGAACTCGGCTTCCCGCTGGCAGGCATGTAGCTGAAATCATAAGCCCCCGTTAATACGAGAAGACGAATAACTACAACCTACATGCAACTGGGGAAGCCGTTCAGTTCAAATACACGTGGTCATGTGCCGCTGCCTTCTGTGTGTCAAATTCTAGTTTGAATCTCATGCTTCACGTTTGCATCCTATTCTATCCAGAATTATCCAGAACATTTGAAAGAGCTGGGGCATGCCATGGCATGCCCTTTTTCCTGCTTGTTGTGTCAAGTTGTGTCCACTGGGTCAGCATGCACAGCGGCAACCAATCGGCCTGAAACAATTACGACGCTGCAGACTTACTTGCCTTGGGGGTGTAGAGGCATGGCGGACGAATGGATGCTGCCGACCCGTTCTTCTGAAGGCAGACGAGACAGCCGAGAACTCTGTGAGTCTGATCGCGGGATTTCAATTCGCTGCCCATGTTCAACCCCAGGCTGGGCGCGCTTGCGATTCCAAGCCGCTGCAACATACAGCAGGCTGAGTCCAAAGATTCCCAGCACCAAGCCCACACTCCAAGGCCTTGTGATCCGGTCAGTAACACACCCGATGCCTGCAGCAATCCAACCCAGTGTCAAACTTGCACCCGACTGCAGAGCCACGAAAGCACTTTGCGTATCGTCGCGAAGCCAGCTCCACATCATAAGGAATATGCAACAACCCAGTGCCAAAGAACCCAAAATCACATGCCATGCAACTGCAAGTCCAGTGCTGCCTCCTGCAAGTGGTCCCAGGATAAAACATGAACCCAAGCACTGCGCGAAACCGCTCGCCAGAATCAAGCGCCTCCGCTGGTGAGCCGACTCAGCAACTTGCACTAGCAGTTGAAGAGCCGTCCCCAAGGACGTCAAGAGGCAGTGCAGCACGGTAAGCGTTGGCAACCAACTGCCCGGGACAAGTCTCGAGCACTCTCGACAGCGAAAGTCTTCCCAGCAACATGTCCCGGAGGTGCAAATGTCGACAGCGGTCGGCTCAGATGGGCCAGTGCCTGAACCGAAACAATGACAATCTGCTGTCACAGCCGTCGCATTGTTGGGGTTACATACCTGCTGCGACAAACCACTCTTAAACACCGTCAGGGCGTCCGCCACGTAGGCACGGCCACCATATCCCGTGGCACACACGGCAAAAAAGGAGCTGCTGTTCGACTCATTCGGACTCATCCACTGCCAGCTTTTCAATACATGTCTTTCTGAGTACTTGGTGCTGGCGGCGGAAGGCCTCCATGGATCTTGCTGGAACGCGCCCGCACTTGCAATCACCACATGGCCGACTCCTTTGGACTCGAGGGTCTCCACTGAAATCGCGTAAGGCGCATTGGTGTCGAATCCTGACTTGCTCCAGCACATGGCATCCTAGAGCATTTGCAAAACAGTTCTAGCCTCGGGAACGAAGTTTAACAAGAAGCACAATTGCCACACTGGTAGATTCTTAGGAAGTGTGAACGACAAATCACCAAAACCGTCGCAAATCTTAGGCCCGATGTCCGGTAGGTGGGATGTCCGCTGAAAGTCTGCAATTGTTTCCCAGCGACTTTGGCTGGAAGCGGTCCTAAGATGTAGCGCCAAGTATGTACCAAAATGCTTCCCAAATTAATTCAAACTGATTATAATTACTGCAACTCCTGTGTCCGCTGGGTTGTGTTGGTTGCTCTGTCCGTTTGGTGTGTTGATCAAAACGTACGCAAACGTGCAAGAAAAGAAACCATAGTCGGGCCATGTGCGTTCAAGGCTCAATATTCATTGCTCCAAAGGGGCCGCCAGCCCGGAGACTTCTCATATACTTTGGCGTTTGAAAGACCCAGAACTGTGGATAAGCACAGGCTGGCAGGAACTGAAGCGCAAGCACGCGAACCCAGCACATGGCAGCCAGACTTCGGCAACGATTCGACCAGCGCAACAAAGAAGCCCCAGGATGTTACGGATGTGCCCATCACTGAGCAACACTGTGCCCGAACCTAAACCCCAAAATACCATTTGACATACGACGCCCACTGCTCAATGACGTGTGACATGATGCCGTGAACACATCCCGCCAGCATTCGCAGCGCATGGGCGGCACCTGCGGCACACATGCTACATATGCGTCGTACAATCAGCATCGAATCTACCGACAACACAAGCCGGTGTCTAAATCCAAGTCTTTGCTGCAATCACGTGCTCTCAAGTTTTGGCGGTTCGGGTTTGCGGGCTTTGGATTTTTGTACGAGGCTGAACACTTGATTTAGGAATGGAGTAATCAGGTTCATTCGCGGGCCGATGGTCCGATTCCAAAAACTACTTCAAGCAATCACTGCACCTTGCACCGCTACACGTGGACTGCCCCGTGGCCAGAACAACAGCCGCCTACCCCATTGAATGAATTTAGTTTGAAACCGTTTGCACTACGGGGCAACCTAAGAAGCTGCCCTCAGTGAAGTGGCTATTGAAAAAATAAACGCCGCCAAATTTGCAAAGCTTTTGTTCCCGCGTCTCTCCCTAGACCTTGGACCTGCGCAACTCCTAAGACCTTTGCAGCCCAAAGTTATCAGAGCAGGAAACCTAATGTATGGCTCGAGCCAACAGCCCCGCATAGCCCCTCAAACTGAACCCTAAACCCTCATTCCCTGAGCCGGGCGTGTTGCTCCAGAGATACAGGTTGCAGTAGGGCTTTCGGCTCTTCCAGAAGCTGGCTCTGGAAAAAACTTGGCGGATATGGGAGTTTTGGGGCTCAGCAAGGTATTAGCAGGGTCTAGGGTGTAGTTTTGGGGTTCAGTAAGGCATGGAAGCTCAGGAACCAGACGAAAATGAGGGCACCCTTTTGGGTTGGTTACTTTACAAGGGAACTTTGAACCACTGGGCTGGCCGGCAGGCTTTCGGCGTTGTGCCAGTCGGAAACCTTTCGAGCGGTAAACTGTGCGCATCCGCGCACTGCGGGCGCCTTAATTCAACAGCGGATCACAGCAAACGCCCGTTCAGAAGCTTACGCCTGCTGCACGTCGTTCAGCTCATTGATCTTGTACAGCACTGCTGTCGCCGCCAGAGTCAGCATGGCCCCAGGTCACGACAGATCCATCAGCCCGGATCGCAGCAAACGCTCCAAAAGAAGCTTGCACCTGCTGCACGTCGTTCATCTCATCGTTCAGCTGACCTTGTACAGCACTGCTGTCGCCGCCATAGCGAGCTTGGCCCCAGGTCACCACAGTTCCATCAGCTCGGATCGCACCAAAAGCTCCAAAAGAGGCTTGCACCTGCTGCACGTCACTCAGCTGACCTTGTACAGCACTGCTGTCACCGCCATAGCGAGCATGGCCCCAGGTCACCACAGATCCATCAACCCGGATCGCAGCAAACGCCTGTTCCGAAGCTTGCACCTGCTGCACGTTCTTCAGCTGACCTTGTGCGGCACTGCTGTCACCGCCAAAGGCAGCGTGGCCCCAGGTCACCACAGATCCATCAGCCCGGATCGCAGCAAACGCCTGTCGAGAAGCTTGCACCTGCTGCACGTTCTTCAGCTGACCTTGTACAGCACTGCTGTCACCGCCAAAGCCAGCTTGGCCCCAGGTCACCACAGATCCATCAGCCCTGATCGCAGCAAACGCGTGTGAAGAAGCTTGCACCTGCTGCACTTCGCTCAGCTGACCTTGTACGCTACTGCTGTCGCCGCCATAGCGAGCATGGCCCCAGGTCACCACAGATCCATCAACCCGGATCGCAGCGAACGCATGTGAAGAAGCTTGCACCTGTTGCACGTTCTTCAGCTGACCTTGTACATTACTGCTGTCGCCGCCAGAGTCAGCACGGCCCCAGGTCACCACAGATCCATCAGCCCGAATCGCAGCGAACGCCTGTTCCGAAGCTTGCACCTGCTGCACGTTCTTCAGCTGACCTTGTACAGCATTGCTGTCGCCGCCAGAGTCAGCACGGCCCCAGGTCACCACAGATCCATCAGCCCTGATCGCAGCAAACGCATATGAAGAAGTTTGCACCCGCTGCACGTCGTTCAGCTGGCCTTGTACAGCACTGCTGTCACCGCCAGAGTCAGCATGGCCCCAGGTCACCACAGATCCATCAGCCCGGATCGCCGCAAATGCCTGTTCCGAAGCTTGCACCTGCTGCACGTTCATCAGCTGACCTTGTGCGGCACTGCTGTCGCCGCCAGAGTCAGCACGGCCCCAAGTCACCACAGATCCATCAGCCCGGATCGCAGCAAAGGCAAATCCTTCTTTCCGACGGGACGCAAGGCAAACCTGTCCGACATGCAACGTCAGCACGTCGTTGTCTTGTAAACGCGCTCGCTTGACTGTACCTCCGGCCAGCAGATTTCCAGAAGTTGTCAGCAACCTTCCTTTGCCAACTCTTAGACTGCCCTGGGCCCTGTGGCACAGGCTGGTGACAGACTCTTCTGGCTCCGTTGCCAAAGTCACGCTCACGCCACTGAGGAGGTGTACGTGGACTGAAATCGACATGATGCCGCGGGCCGCCGCCTCCCACGACTCGACGCTCAGAAGCCTAAAGTGTCTATTTCGCAATTACACATCACCCCACACCGTTGGCCTGCCAAGAACTCTGCAAGTGACAAACATGAACTCTCCCTACATCACTTACTAACAAGCGCTTCGAAAGCCACAGCCGCAAAGCCCAAACCCAAATCTTCGCTGCGAACCGACACAAGACCCGGCAAACCACAAATTCTCCGTCGAAACTTATCGCTGTGCTGCACGGGCACCAAGCTGGATGGAAGATGTGGCGTTGCCAGTCGTGGCGGACGAGCTCGTACGTCGGACACAGGTGCTTGAAGCGGCAGCCAGCTCACTTCATGCCGTTGGCATTCAGGTTGAAATTGGCAAGGGGCATGACCAAGCTGGCACAAGCCTTCCGGGGTGTAGGCAGATGAAGCAGAGACGGCTC